TGTTGAGTCGAATCAATAAACATTAAATTACAGTTTAAAAAAGAGCACCCACGCTGAAAAGTTTTTATTGGCTAAGAAACGCGGTATGACATAGAGAATATGGATTTGACATTAAGCCAGTGGTTTTATCTAGTACCGCACGTGTACGGATGAGTTGTACTTATAACCTCAAAAATTTGAAATATTTTCGTTTTTACAAGAATAACTGATATATTATCCTCTATAACTAAGTGCAAAATGGCAGATCAAGGTACAGGTAATTTCTTTTTATATTTATAATATTATTTTTTTGATATAATGTAAAATTAAGAGCGGCTGATAACGTTTACAGTTCCACATATTACATTTTAATTATTTTGAAAATTCACATAGCATTTATTTAATTTAATCGTAACATAAATAGTCGTATAGATATTTTGAAATTTACTCAGTAATTTTCTAATAAGTCAAACGAATACATTTTACTATTGTTATTAAATTTCGATGTTCTTAATAATGTTCAATGTAAGATTGATTTCTTTTGATGTTTCAGCCATTCCTTCGAAAGACAATTATGAAAGTGAAACAGATGAAACAAGCGACAATGATAGCGGAGATGATTGGGATGAAGAAACAGAAGATTTTGAATCTATACCGTGTCTTTTTTGTAATGAAATCACCAGTAACTTTTCTATGGCATTGGAGCACCTTACAGCATTACATAAATTTGATTTGAAAGAGTTTATAGTCAAAAATTGTTTGGATACTTATACCTACATTAAATTAATTAATTTTATTAGACACAAAAATATCTTGCCTGATCAATTAAATGCATTAAGCATAAAAACATGGGAAAACGAAGAATATTTAAGACCTGTTATAGAAGATGATCCTTGGCTAATGTTTGGTAAGTATAAGTACAAATCAGTTAATTATAAATTAACGTTTTCTTAAATTAATTGATTTTCCTTTATTATTGTTGCCTATAAAGATATTGAAGAGATAGAAGAAAAGATAACAAAACCTGTTGCATATACCGTAAATTGGGAAAATGGTCGAGTCACAATGTCTGAGACACATTTTGCTGAATTACAAAGAACTATACAAATACTTAAAGCACAATTAGAACAACGTGAATCAGCATGTTTCTTAGCAAAACAGGTATTCATTCGCAGAATTTAATATCTATGTATATTGAATAAAACAGTTAGTAAAGCGTATTCAATTTCAGCAAATAGATGAAATGTCAGAAAAAGCACAAAAATTGGTTTTGGATAGTGATTTAGATGAAAACAATACCCTTACATCTTTTAGCAATTCTAACTGTAACATTGATAAGGGTTACTTTAATACATACAATCATTTTGCTATACATCACGAAATGTTAACAGTAAGCATATGGATTCTTTAATAATGAATACGATATTTTAATAACAGGAATAATCTTTTTGCAGGACAAAGTACGGACTGAAAGTTATAGAGATGCATTATTAACAAATGCTAATAAATTTAGTAATTGTGTGGTACTAGATGTTGGTTGTGGAACTGGCATTCTGTCTATGTTTGCAGCGAAAACCGGAAGTCGCAAAGTAATCAGTGTAGATCAGTCTGATATAATATATCATGCGATTGATATAATAAGGTAGACAGATTATCTACTTGTATATATATTTCTTTTAATATTTGGATTTTCCTTCAGGAATATTTCTTTTTAATGCATTCTAGGGAAAACAATTTAAGTGATATTATCACTTTAAAAAAAGGTCGGCTCGAGGATATTAACCTTGACGAAAATAAAGTTGATGCGATCGTGTCTGAATGGATGGGATATTTTCTCCTGTTCGAGGGTATGTTAGACACAGTAATTTACGCAAGGGATAATTATTTAATTCCTGGTGGAATACTTCTTCCTAATAGATGTACACTGAGTATTGTGGGAAGCGGAGATACTAGTATGTATTTTTTAAATAACGGAATTATAGTATTCTCGAACATTCTTATTTTGACTTATTTGACTGACTTGTTAATTTTTGTAGGAAGATATGTTGAACTTATTGATTATTGGTCAAATGTGTATGGTTTTAAAATGAGTTGTATGAAAGCGGAGGTTGTACGTGAGCCAAGCATAGAAATTTGCAACGCCGACGAATTAATAACGAGCACTGTTGAAATTCAAGCATTCGATTTATACAAAGTAACGAAAGATTGCGTAAACTTCTCGTCACCTTTCGAACTTAAAGTAAAGAAGACTGGATCACTGACCGCAATTGTTGGCTATTTTGATGTCTTCTTTGACTTGGACAATCCAATTTATTTTAGCACGGGACCTTACTCGCCTCCAACACATTGGAAACAAACAGTATTCTCGTTGAGTGAACCTATTAGCATTACCGAAGGTAAGTTGAATAAAAATTTAAATATAAAAGTTACTGATTGTTGAATGGAGAAAAGTAAATGCAAGAATTTTTTATAGGGGAAATATTACGTGGTAAATTAGTCTGTCGTAGACACGTTCGAGACATTCGAGGACTCATGATTACAATTCATATTAAGAATACGAGCCAAGTTTATTATTTAGAGTAATCGCTTTGAGGACTATTTAGTAGACGTAAGTGCCAAAAAAGGGAAAAAAGATAAAAATTAAATGATAAAAAAAGATAAAAATATAGGGTCCATAACAGCTTTCTGACTATAAAACTGTTGATGACTATCATTAAAAATTAAATATTATGCGAGGTACGAAAAAAACGTAGAAAAAAATCGTTCGATACCCGTATTTTTTACGATATTGCGATTTACATTTTAAACCCTTTTAAAGACCGTAGAAATTTACATAACTCGGTATAGATACGAAAAGCTTCGTATTTCTGCAATGATGAGGGTAGATATAAACAATTTTTATAGAATTTTTTTATTTTATTAAAATTTTTTTTATATAACCAAAGATTATGTTGATCGTTTTTATAAATTATCTTACATAAGCACAGTACACATTCTTTCTATAGGACATCGTCGTAATTAATGCGAACTTTATAGTAGACATTGTTTACGATTTGTGCCTTTTTCACAACTTACATTTGTAATTTACCATAAAGTTAATATTTTGAAAGATTAAGTAGTTCCGAGATAAAAGTGATATGGTAATGTTTTATTTTACAATTCCGTCGAAATATGAAAAAGGTTTTCACGATAGTGATAAAAGAAATATTTAAGTATATACCTGGTTGCACAAATATTTCATTGAGTCAAATGATAGTTTTAAATTTAAAATATGTTTAACGTTAAAATATGATATTCCTTTGGATGCATGTATTTAAAAAAAAAATCAAGTTTAATTAGTGCACCCGAGATTCTTGTTACGCTTTCATTACATAAACAACGATTTCGAATTCGCTCAAGTTGAATATAATCCAGCAGTCCTATAAATAACTCCGACAAAATGAATTAAAAAGGAAATATGCATGTTTTTACTGGCATATCTTCTACCGTCGTTATACTATGAATTTCAATAATTGATAATGAAATCGTCCAGAATTTATTTAAAAATACAAGTATTTTTGCCAGCTTTCTTGCATGTACTATTGTAGAATAAGTATTCACATTTAATAACTAACCGTTGATGAGATGAAAATGAATTCATACCAATTCTACATCCTATCTTATGTAGCTTATAAAGAAAATAATGTGATTACTCTCGATTTCATTTAAGTCTATTCTAGGGAAAAAATCCAAAATGGCACCATATTGCTTACGAATTTAGTTCCCTCTTTTAAAATTGCCCTGCACGTTGTTTATAAGTCAGGGTCAATTAAAAAGTACTTATGCTTCCAGGTTAAGGTATGTAATACAACTCTGTGATATAAAAAAATAAGTAATAGTAAATTTATTTGATCGTAAGTCAGGAGAATTATTGCCTTTCTTGATTGTAATATGTATACTTTTACATAAGTAAATAATCTATTATGCTATGCTTAAAATCAAATAAATTGAAAAAAATCTTACAAGTTTAAATTATTTCACATTCACATGTTGCTATCACGTATTTTTATAGAGTCAATCATACATACATATATATATATATATAAAAATGTGAAAGTCATTGTATGATATATATATAAATGTGAAAAATCTCAACATTTTTATTTCCATTCATACTGTTTTTCTCTATATTATTTAAATCTAGTCAGTATGTATCATCTATAATACTACATCTTTTTTTTTCTTAGTCTTTTAAAATTATCGACATTTCGATTCAATTAACAAAATATTTCTAATTTCCTTTTCAATATCAAACAGTTTCCTTTTCAATGTACATTTACAAGTTTTTAATTACAAAAGCGTTATCTTTTTTAAAAAAAACTTTAAGATATATGCTATAAGCAAAATTTACAGTAGATCACAAACGTTACTTTTACTTTTTTGTACAGTTTTTACAGCAAATGAAATCCTAAGCCTTCAATACCGAAAGTTTGGATTGTCAGTTTGCCAACCTTTTGCATTTGGTCCAAACTGATAAACTAATCTTCGACCGAGTACAGGTTGAAAGATTTTACTTTTATAATAGTACCTGAAAAAAATTGTTTATATGAAAGACATCACACGATCGCCAAAATGAATTTAATCGGAAAAAAAAGCGAGTGGAAAATTACCTCATTGCTCGGCTCAGTTTTTCATATGTCATTTTCGTGTTTCCTTTCCTTGAGCCCCACCGTTTCGCAACTTCGTCGCTCTTTACGAATCGAAATTTCGCCTGAGAGTAATCTTCCCAACAAATTAAACTCGGACATGTTTCTCGATTACGTAAAAGATCCCTGATGAACTCCCAAAGCTTTCCCTGACCAGTAGCTACACACACACACACACACATATGTATATATATCTTTACACGAGTATCGTCCAATTAACAAATATTTAAATTCAAAATACAATACTTACAATTCTTTTTTGGTTTTAACATTCTCGGTCTGCCTGGTGGTCGTTTGGTAGTAGAAACATCAATACTATTATTATCTGACTCTGTGTCTATAACAGTAAAATGTTTATGTATCTCGTTATGAGAGAAACAAATTATTTCCTCTATAAAAAAAAAAAAAATTCACATTACCTGATGTATTGTTGGAATTGATTCGTGCATATTCGTCTTCGGAATGGGGATGGATGGTATCAAACGATGGAACTACAATTATATAAATTTATTATTATATATTTACTTTTATGAGCGATTAACTACATCATTTATAATTTTCTTTTTATGAATATTCACGTAAATTACATACGTATATTCGAGATATGCTGAGAATGAAGTAGATCATAGAGTCGTTCTCCGTACATGGGGTCGTGATTGATAAAGTCATTTTTGGTAAAGGTGACCAACTCATTTCCTGGCACCGCAAGGCTATGTTGAATCAAACTGTATGGTTGCCCGATGTAAGAAGCCGCGGACATCAACCAGTTTATTGTTTCTTCTTGACACCAGTTTCTAATCGGTTTGTCTGACCAGCCGGTACCATCGATCTCGTTGGTTTCATCACCTATTGAATATGAGGTAATATGAGAAATTTGATAGAAATCGATGGAACATCGATAAACTTTTTTCCACAGAAATTACCAAAGTAACATTTCTTTCGAGATGGTTCGTAACTGCGCGTGGTCAGAGCGTTAGTTTTCAGCGTGACCAACGAGTCCATATCCAGTACAAAGTGATCGTCGTCGTCGTTTAGATTAGGAAACGAAGGGCACACCTGCAAGTAGAACATACGTATCGGATAACAAACAAATCCGAAACGAAATCGAGTTTCTGCGTTAATGACCTTGCTGGCGTCTTCGAGCGTCCCGTCTCTTTTTATCGCGGAAGGCTGAGAAAAACGAGATCGCGGCAATCTCGTTTTCTCGAACTGGCTTTTGTGCGCGCCAGACGGAAATACATATTTACGTCTCGATTCTCAGCGGAGGAGCATTTGCATAGAACAGATATCGGTAATTTACGATAAACAACTGCAGGTCGTTGTTTCAACGATTGTTTGTTTACTCTTTTTTCCTTTTAACATTGCGCTTTCAGCTTTATGCAAGTGTGCAGACGACATTTTAAATGATCAATAATGACATTTTAAATTAGTAATGACATTTTAAATTAGCAAACTAGCGTGCATAAGTGTTGCTTAATAGTTATTGAGCGACACTCTTTCAAACGTCACACTTTCATAATTTTGTTTCTTTTTTCCTTTTTCTCTCGTATCTTGTATCATCTTCGCTAGTTGATTCCTTCTTTTTAATTTCTGAATATTCAATTCAATTCTGAGTATTACTTTCTACATTTCGCAGATGAATCATCATGATTGATCCATCTTAAAATTCTTTAAAGGTAGTAATGGATTGAATTTTTACGATCAGTTATAAAAATTTACTCGATCAAAAAATTCCGATTACCATTTGCGTCAATATTTGCGCAATAGTTACTGATCACCAATATAACTGATCAGACAATCGTCAGAAATATTGTTTCATTTCGTCGAATGACAACTATATTACTACCACAAATCATTTCGCTAAATCCACAAATGAATTTGTTTTCGCACTTAGGTGCGAACACTCGTGCAATATAGACATTCGAGTTATCGCGTCTTCGATCGTCGTTATTCTTCGTAGAAATCCAATTTTTGCGATCTTGTATCTTCTCCCCCCTTCCCCCCCGCCGAGATGAAAAAAAGGATGTAAATTCTCGTTTCTAACTCGATAGAAATATATTTCATATTTTTTACGCAGCATCTAAAGAACGAATTGAAACGAATTGTTTGCTACTTTATAATTCAATTGCAACTAATTGTCGGCTATTTTTTCTGTTTCTAATTTATTTTTCATTCGTCACGATATTGTTTATTTCTTTGCCCAACTTTATCTCGGTATTTACTCAAAAAGCTATCGCTTGCGACATATGTATGTGCGTGAAGAAGTTAAACTGTTTTACAGCTTTCTGTTTTTTTCTCGTACATGTAAATACCGATCGAGAAAATACACATGCATTTTCTTAGAAAGTTCATTACAAAACACCAGCGACGCACGCGCTGCGGTATTAACAAAGCACGTGAAACTCGTGCGTTCTTTTCTTCGTGAAGAACTACAGAACAGGTAAATAATCAGTCATTAAACTGCGCATCGTTCACTAAAATCAATTCAACTTTATAACCTTCTGCAGGTAAATCGTAACTCACCTCCGCTAAGTCGGTTCTGTCGTAACTACCGAACAGGTCCATCCTCGAGTTCACTCGATTCTTCAATTAAATAAATATAAAGTCTGCCGCGCGAGCGCGACAACAACAGGTACGTCTACGTCGTAGAGGATGATCACAATTTACGCAAAGATAAACTGTATGTATGTATGTCACAGCGCAGTAAGTCGCATCGCTGTTTGTCGGGAACAGATTGCAACAAGTGCGTACGTTATGTACACCTTCGACTGCGACTAAACACGGAGGTCGTCGCGGCGATGTCGCGCAACGCGATACTGATCGCCGGTCGCCGAAATGTCTCTGACGAAGACGGCGTCGCCAAGCTGCCGACGCGGTGACGCGAAAGACGTCAGTGGGAGTACCATGGGGACGGATAGCGCGGATGAGCAGGTTTCAACGGGGATTTCCCGCTCTTTGGAATCGGCCAATCACCGGCGTTGTGCCTCGCGATAGCTGACGCAATAATTGCGGATACACAACATTGGCGGCGGTCTCGGAGATCCGGAGAATCCAGGGACGAAAACACAACCGAAAGTATATAGTCAACGCGATGGGTTATTCCCCGAGTGGCTTCGTTACTTTACAATCCAACAAGCTCGACCTCACTCGGCACGCTCGAGTATTTGTGGCGGTTATAAGAGTCGATTCCATTTTTTCTTTTTTTTTTTTCAATTTTTCTTCATCCGCGAAATTTTCATTTTTTTTTTTTTTTCAGGAGAGGTTAAATTTACGAATTTCACTTTTGAAATAGTACACGCTTCGAAATTTGAAAATTTGTCTATTCTGTGGAATGAAATTAAATTTGAAACAATCAAGAATTGGAAGCGATAAAGCTGCGTTTTGTTTGTGAACTCTTCAGATTCCTTTGAAGTCTGTATTTATTCGTGTCTTTTATTCTTTTATCTTTTCACAATACTCGCAATTGACTATAATTTATTAATATGATTTTGTTGTATTTCAGGGTATGTCCCAATTCCAATTTTAAGATCATTGTAAAGAAGATACTATTATGTTTATGGTATAATCGGTCAGACTGAATTTTTTTTTTTAGCTATTTTATACAGAAATGATCTCACGCAGTTTTTAAACTTGTATTTTTTTCATTTATCGCCAGAATTATTTGGAATTTATCGAATGATGCGGAATCAATTATACAATATAATGTACGAACAAAAATATTAATAAAAAACTTCGGATCTTTTTGCTGAACCAAGAGAATTATTGCAAAGAAAAACGTCAGGCATCTACATAAATAAGTATAAAATATCTCTAAAATATAAAGTATAAGTATAAGTAAAATATAAAGTATAAGTGTAAATAAGATAAAAATCAAAGTTTAAACGTAGATATAATCATTTACTGGCAGATCTTTTTAAAAGAAAAAATGAAATTTAATTTTAGAAGTGTGATTCACTAAAATGCAGATATTGCATATATCGCGCTTAAAATAGAAGAAGAAAGAATTGCATCATAAAGAATTAATGTGTTCCATTTAAAATTCGAACACACAAAGCATCTCCCGGTTTGTGTGAAAAGTTTTTTTAACATACATTTGGACAAATATATGTATGCATGAGAAATACGCAATACAAGTGTGTAGGTTGTTTGCCGCCAAGTAGAAGCACGTGTTGTGGAGTTTTGAATTTTCCCAGTTTAAATTACTGACTCAACTGATTAATATCAATCTTTTTTTTTCAGGTTAAAAGGTTACATGTTCAATCAGTTGTATATAAAATGATGCCACAAAAACAAGAATAGAGAAGAAATAATCAAATGTAATTAAATATGCATATCTATATATAAACATCTTATATGTACATTTTATTAACCAGAATGAAAATATTATCATAAATGACTACAGGCCATAGATGGAATTTCATTGAACAGCGTAATGTAATGATTTACATTAATATTAATTTGGGTCAATAAGGTAATATTTAAGTTAAGGTGAATATTATTTAACTATAGACACAATTAAGCTATTTATTTAAACATTTAAGCTCAATTTCATAATAATTTTTAAATCGGACTACTTCAATTATTTTATAAAATTATTCTCATATTTTTATATTTACAAACATTTTACATTAATAATCGTATCTCAAATGTTGCTAGCAATCCATGCTATTATACAGAGCCAAAGGTGTGTGTTAATCTCTATAAAATGGAAATTGCTATTGAACTTTGATTTTTTCCTGGAAGTATCTCTTTTTTTAAAAATTATTTATTGCAAATTAATGACTTGACATATGAAATCATTGATGAAAATTCGTCTTTGCAGCGAGATTTCATCGGTGCCTTCGTGACATTGAGTCGTTTGAAGATCTTCACAAAGATTCTATTTTTTTTTTTTTTTTCTTTTTAACGACGGTATTAATAGACACAGGTTGTTCGTCACATAATTCTCAATAAATTGACTAGCTAGAATCAATGTGAGAAAAGAAGAGAATAATATTCTGCGATAATGTGTTCCGCGCGCATATCAAATTTTCCTGGAATGTTGTAATACGTTTATGTGCAACAAAGGTGGATAGATTTTCAATAATGCAAAAATTGCATTCTTAAGCTTTGCATGCATCATATGTATGTATATGCCCGAGGAATATTTTCAATGAACCCACTAATGCTTCCAACTCGTACGTTCTGGCCTGTATACATATAATGTTTCCATCACGTTCGTCCAGACAAAATGCAATATTCGGAAAAGCTCTCACATTGGCGGCGCCTATGGACTCGTTTATTTATAGTACGCCACGATGTCTCGACATCAGAGTGTAAACATGTCGGTACTACCATGGACTTCATTTTATTTTACGATGTACCTTTCTTTCTTTTTTTCTCTCGCATGTATTCTTTTTCTTTCTGCTCTTTTCAATTATGTCTCCGCACCGGGAAGAACGCGCTTTTTATCATAACCGCAATCCGTGAAACTCCTGGGGATTACTAATAACCAATTCGAGGAATTGCGATCGTGCAAACCAACTTCGTCGGGCTTTGATTTTATATCGGCTCTTTCGAAATATTTCGCATTTCCTGCAGGGAAAATCAACGAATAAAGGAAATGAAGAAGAAACCGAGGCGACAGTGATAAAGAAAAAAAAAAGAATTATATTGGTGTGCTAATTAAGGAAGTAATGGTATTTTTAATCAGTCCAATTCATTATACGATCATTATGCAGGAAATATAAAGTTATGTGTCTGTGATTCATTTTGATCACTCATTTCATTTTCTATGCGGAAGAGTCGAAAAATTGTGACGCTCAATAACTTTTGAACCTAACTGTTTCCGACTCATCGTTCGTTTCTTTTTTTTTTTGGTTCCTTTATTCCCAAAATAAATGACCTATCATAACTGACCTATCATAAAAATTGTAAATAAAGTCTCAATTTTAATAATTTTCAAGATTTCCATTGGTAAAAATTTTTTTTTAAATCCTTTAAACCTTGTTGATGCTGTTTTCATTATATATTTTGTATTTGCTTTGCAGTTCCTGCGGAAGTATAAGGGTATCTCGTTTTGAGGGTTGCCCTGAAAGCATCTCTGACCACATCTCCTAGGATACGGATTTTGTGTATCTCGGTTTTCTCCACTTCCCAGATACATAGATCCTTCTCGTATTACACAAAGTTATCTGGGATCATTCTACATATTACAAAGTCGTGTTATTCAAAAAGACTGCATCACTATTTCAATTACAGGCTTGTATTATCATATTCCTATTCTATTTTCATTCATTTAACGTTCATTCTATTTTCTCTTTGAATCTATTTCCCCACTATATTGCATTTCTATCTCCTTCGTTACGCTACGCTTGTATAAAATCAAAATGAAATTATAAATGGTTAGTTATCACGTGATCATTCGCAACTAGCAAACGAAAATTCCAACGATTCCTTTTAATTTTTATTTGCAACAAGAAATAATTGACTTGTTCGAATAAATTATATGCAAATCTCGTGACGCGTGCATGCGTATGTACAAGCGGCCCATTTAATTGCAGTTGGTAAATATTTAATTGTATCGATATGCAATCATCACTTATCAAAAGTTCACCTCGCGTTAAACTTACTACCTTTTTAGGACATTAAGATTAAGAAACTTAGAAGATTAAATACTTGACGTCCTGTAAATAAACAATTTATATTACGCAAAAAAATGAACCAGACAGTACAATTCTAGATACTATACATGCAAATGTTAAAGCACACGTGTCATTACAAATGGAAACATAAGTCCTTATCGTAAAAAATTGTTTTTTTTTCTTTTTTTTAAATATATCACCATCGTGCACATTTATATATTTATTTATAATTATTTGTCATTTATATGGAAATGTAAATTGGTTCGAACAAGTGCTACGCTTCATAAACAGAATATACATATTAGTAATAATTATAGTAAGACAGACACGTTGACAGACACGTTGAAAATGCGATGAAAGGGACAAAGGAGATTGAAAATGAAATACGATCGTTTTTCTTACGCTTCTTCCATGGCTTACGGCAAACTTTTTTTTTTTTAATCTATAGAACGTAGTAACTCGAACTTCTGCGTAATCGTATGTGTTTCGAAACGGGAAAGGTCACCACGGACTGTCAAACAGGTTCATAATTTTTTTAATTCCAATGGAAATCGAAAGTCCTTAACTAACGTCATTGGTTGCGTACAATTCCCAAAATAAAAAAATGTCACGTGCGTATTAGAGAAAATAAACAAGAAATTCAACGTTGTTAAACTTGCTTAACCAAAGCTTCTCATTTTATCAGTAATGAGAATATAATCATGCTTGCAATTTAAACGGAAAAAAGTTTCAAATCTTACGTATATTTTTATTTACAATTACATGTCATATTTTTTTTCGGTCAAGAAAGTTCGAATCATCGGCGAATTATTCCATCGTGATCGATTAAAACGAGTAAAACCAGTTCACCCACAGAAGGTGCATTGCAGTTCGGGGGAAATCACATCTGCAAATAACAAATACTTGTGCGTGCGCATAAGATCACGTGGACGCGGGCACTGTGAATCATTCACAATGTTTGTTTCGCAACGCGCCGTACCGTCGAAAAGACTCTAGGCTTCGTTTCCAAGAACACGTGTCTTCTCGGGATGTTCCGCTCATTATCGTTCTCATCACATCCCAAGCGCGTATTCGCAATTTTTCCAGGCATGCCCAATTTGTCTAAAAATGAAAATGATCTTGACAGACGATCTTGATTTTTACTCTATCCGATCTTTAATTAGAATTTTGATGTTCAAATACACGGGCGTTTTCGTATATTTTTTTGGAATATCATAATGATTTTAGTAGTATTATAATGACCGTTATTTCCTAGATCATCGACAGATAAAGTTTCTTTTTGCATTATTAAGTCGTATGTTTAGTCTTTAGACAGTCTTCGATTGCAGTTCCGTAATGCCAGTTGTAAGCTGTACCTAGATTCTTACTATTCTAATTTCAAAGTTTTTCAAAGAAATTTTTAATGATACAGAATTATTAATGTTATTCGCTCGTAATAAGTGGTATTAAATAAATTCTAATAGTATGTAAGTATTCACTTCCATCGTTATCATGCTCGATATGTGTTTAATTACAAGTAGAGAATTTATTTTTTCAAAAAACTTGAGAGTTTATAAATAATTGGATTTCATTCCTTCTTTCAGTTAAGGAAATTGTAAGCGAGAAATTTGTTATTTTTAGCTTTTATACACATAATTAGTTATACGAGATTGCAGCGCAATACTGAGTTATACACGAGAACTTGCCTAAATGATTTCACGAACAGGTGCCGCGTCACCTTTGCGGGTTAAACAAGGATACTAAATATTACCTATAAACGTATTCTTGCTGCATTTGTGCGATTTTCAATAAATCTTTGGTATCAAACGTACAATGAAATATTAATGAGTATTCATGAATTATTGATGCAAAATTAAGTACTTACTATAAAAATTCTGTCTGTTTTTCTGCAAAAAAAGATAATGGAAGAATAATGAATATTTAAAACAATATTGCCCAAGTATTTTGTAACAAAGTGCTAAATAAAATAATATTTAGTACATATTTGTACATTGGTAATGATACAATGATGAAATCATACAGAAATTCTGCATACATGCACATAACAATAAACGGAAATACTGTGTATGTATGTATGTATGTATATATATATATATAATTTTCCATTTATTGTTACTATTATTATTTACTATTATTGTAACAGTCCATTGTTAAAGTCAATATAGAAGAGGTAAATTAGTTTAAATATCGTTACATGCTCCCAATATAAAAGTCATTAAATCTACATGATCTAAAATAGATGCTTATTAAAATTTATACAAAATCAGTTCGTTATTTATATTCTTATTTTTTATTATCGTCCGATGCAATTTGCGATGCAATTTGCGATGCAAATTTCGCCATGTAATCGACGCTATTTTCTCCCATCAGGCATTGCATATGTGAAACAACCTACAATATTAATACATTTTTAATGTAGATTGAAATGTTAATATACCAGAACTTTTTATTTTGTTTTATAGTTTATATTTACATCGGATGATGGACGATTATCTTCTATATTGGTTTCATTTTGATTTCTCTGCGAGATCTTCATAGGGGATTCCAATTGTCCTAGGAAGCTGCTTAATGAATATTCTGCTACCTGCAGTTTAATCTCATTATTAATAAAAAAAAACCTTTACTTAAAATTCTTAAATTCAACCTTAAAGATTTACCTCGCTATTCAACCATTGGTGTTCTCCTTCTTTAAGTATTTGTGTAGCGCTTGTTATAATAGAATTTGTGGATTTTGGATCTCTTGCCACTTCAAATTCAGTCAAAAAATTTTTCTCTTGTGGTGCATTTACAGTTATAGATGGTGATTTATCATCTTGTTGGTCATCAATCTTATTTATAGGAGGTTCGTTTATTTTATTTGTTTCTTGAATATTAGAAGTTACATCTTCTGGTAAATTGCTTGATGTAGATACTATTGGTAATACCCTTTGTACAATAAGACTCTTTTGCCTCACGGTTCTACCTCTTTTACTAAAACGTGTTGTAAATTTCTGTATTTAAAAAAAGAAAATTACTGTTTCTGAATTCCTTAAAAAAATATTGAATATGAAACGATAACGAACATCTAATTGTGTTTTAAAAGCATCTGGTGTTCCAATCTTGTGATAAGTTTGTGGAACTAGAGGTCTTTTGAAAGTCGATTCCTTCGTTGAAAGTATTCGAGAGGAAATCACAGTTTCATTGCTTCCAGAAGTATTATCATATACTTTACTCGTGCCGTAGCTATGTTTCGCTATAGATAATAGCTTTTGCAAAGTAAGACACAAATTGTCATCATTCAAAGTTGTTGATGTAGACTCTCCAGCGTGTTGTTCCCGATGATTCCAGTCCCACCAATATTCCAATGTGACTTTTGACTCGCGACCAAACTAAAAAACTTAGAAAATTAGAATTTGCATGTTTTTAATGATGAAAAGCAATTTGAAGTTTTAAATTTTTATTCAAAGTAAATTCTGACAAACCATTAAAAACAGATCTCCCACAGTAATGCTATTTGCTTCTTCAATGTTCCATCCTTTTCGAATCCTTTCAACAGTTTCTCTGCCTGGGAATCTATTAAATTCCGTTTTTTGTTCTAGACTAGATTTTTCGGTGTTAGTAACAGTTGGTTTTTCTGAAACATTACTACCAGATTCTATTGCGTCTACATCGCTGTTATTGTCTGGCATAGTACAATTATCCTCTGTACGATTCATACATTTCTTATCTACTTTATTTTTCTTAATCCCCTTCTTTCCAACACCTTTTATGTATTGCACTGATCCTAACAGATCCATTCTGGAACATTTTAGTCCCAGACGTTTTTCATAAGAATTTAAACTGACACTGTTGCTAGTTAAATATTCTCCAAGATTTACCATTGGCAAGGCAATTTTACTCCCTTCAGGTGGTGCAACTCGTAACAATCGGCTATCTTTCATTTCATTAACAACAGCATTTTCTAAATTTGGAAACTATAATTATCTGTATAGGATTTTTCACAATATTTTTTTCTTATTTAATGCAAAGCAAGATACTGGCGATTTATTTTGAAGGAAGGATACTGTATTATACTTTGCAGGTCTCCACCTTTGTTGCAGAAATATTAATAAACTAGACAAACGTCTTTGTATTGGCAATAAAGTACGTACTCTTGGATTCATAGAAGAAGCCTGTACTTGCCACCATGCCATATTATTGCGAGGTCTTAATTCTATTGTTATTCTAGGAGGAAGTTTGATTTCTTCTTGCCAGTCTGTGGAAGTATTACACGTTTAATGAATTACGTTATGTTCTAGATTTAATTTATTGAAAATACCTTCTAGCTGATTTAGTTTTCTTAATGCTCTACATATAGGTGTTTTAATTCTCATAGTTTTTCCTCTAAGTCTGACTTGCGTTGAACCCCAATAAACTAGTTCATTTAGTTTCAAGTGTACTTTTTCATATATTCTTGGCAATTTTCTTCTAAGTTCACCATAATTGATCAAACCGTACAGTTCTTGTGAGGTTTTCTTTACATCTGTACAATAAAACATTTGTATTGTCAAAATAAAAAAATCATGAAGAAGCATAAGCGTATGTTGAATAATCACCTTCTGAAAATTTCAGATGTTTCGATATTTTCAGCCAAGTTCTGTAATAAAAATGCCTAATCTGTTCCTTATTTTTTATCACAGCATCTGGCAGACCTTTTTTCTTCCCTTGGCTCAAGAAGTAACTCTGCAGGGCATCAAAATCCTTCCCATATTCGTTTAAAGCTTTGAAAAAGGTGTTCTTATCCTCCATAGACCACAATTCACAAGATCTTTTCAAAGATTTTACTTTCACCTCTGTATTGTTCTCCTCATCTTTGGAGTCTATTAAGTTAACAAATCTTTATCAATCGTACAACAAATTAGAATTTAATTATGAAGATACAGACCTTTTCTTTCCACGTTGTTACCATCACTTATATCCACTTTTAGTTTTTTCGTGCCTCGAACGACACGAACTTGAGTGTTCTTAGAATCCGTGGACACTTTCGTGTCCGTAGAACCCTGTACATTTTGAGACGAACTTTCTTCCTTCTTGCCTGCTGTGTTGATTCCCTGAACCTCAGAATCCTTGTTTCTCACGTTGCTCTCCATTCTACGTTTGCACGTGAAAAAATTATAAATGGCAACCTCAAAATGAGCTTCGAGTCCTTTCAGTCGTGCTAAACTTTATAACTTATCAGAAACAGGCAGCGCGTCGCCCAAGCTCATGATAAATTTACAATATAAAAATATCCTCACCGTGATTCACGACGTTAATATCATAATTAAATATATCAAAGAATGCTGTAAAAATCGTGTTTCAGCGTGGTCAAACTACTGGGAAACAAACATAACGGTGATTTATTATCGATGCTAAAACGTAGTTACGTCTATCTTCGTACTTACGCACGAACGTAAAGGCAAACTTTCTCATTGTTCGTGCTGCTTAATGACTCAAAGGGATTCTAATTTTTGTGCGAAAATAAGCACGATGTAGTCGAAAACAATTACGTAATTATGAAAATTTGACGACTTTGTTCAGCTTCACAAATACCTTCATGCATTCTTACGAGTTGAACACTCCTGACCACGTTTCTAAATAGACTGGCTACTTACTTAGATCTGCTAAACTTAAAATCTGAGAGTTAAAAACATATCTCACGATATCTATCATAAATATCACAAAAAATCACGTCGATTTCAACGAGAAACTTTAACGCTTGACTAAAATAATTAATCAACGCGTGTTGAAACTTTCGGAAGATTCAATAGCCTTTTCGAAAGTCTTCGAAAATTTAACAAGCAAAATTGAAAGAAAGTTTCAGATACCGCGAAATCTTGACAGCCTTAGACTCAGAAAGTTTCGAAATCTCAAAAATTCGACAGTTTTACATTCTGAAATTAGTTTTCTCTTCTGTGCAAGTTTTCGTTTTCTTTTCTGTGCAAGATTTCGCATACGAAATATTCACAAGATCTTCAATATTTTATGTAAAACATAAAATATGGATCTTTAGAGAGATCGCAAAAATTGTTAAGATTTTTAAAACCTATCAAGACACAAAAATTTGAATCATTTGTTCAAAGTGATTCGAATCTTCGTAACATAAAGGAACATCGAAAACCGCTTCGAAATTGAGATTTAAAACATCGTTAATCGTCTCGCTGCCTTCCGTCCGTGACATTCTAGAAACGATTTTCGCGCGGCGCCGGCGCTGGCCAGTGATTCGTCACGCGTGTGCAACGGCCGGCCAATAGGATCGCGCGGGCAACCGTGCGCCGAACCAATGAAATTCTTTCGTTTCTCACGCGTTGAAAGTCGTGTCGTTGTTTCCGATCTTGAACGAACGGTTTTCCATGATGTTGTTCGTGGATGGTGGCCTTGATAGGAAAACCCGAGACACAGAGCGGAGGAGCGTAGTGTACTTAATTAATAGATCAATCGATTCATTTTAAAGAGATCTCGGACGTTGACCGACGCCTTGATGGGGCGAATAACGACGGTGTACCACCCAGTTACCGAGCCTGCTGCGATATTATAATTGGCCAGAGCGTGTTATGCACTCGTCAAATTCGATTGCCATCCCGGTTTTGATAACTGTAACCTTGGTTATATTCACCACTGCGGGTCTACGTCAAAGGTGACAACGGGCCAAGAAGCATACAGTTTTAACTTGACTTGTAGCAACTGCGCAAGGGTGGCGCGAGGTGTTAGTGACAAGGTGTATCTAACCTTAAAATGCGATCATCCGCGATAAGCAATGTGATTGTACTGTTTGGACTGCGTTTGTTGTGTTGGTGTTGGAACACGGTGGATGCCAGCGGCGGAGCCCTCGATACAAGCTCGAACTTCCAGTCTGGCTCAAGTGGAAGTTCACATTCCAAAGTCACAGCATTCTCTGCGACACTTACCGATGGACTGGCGCAAGCTGTGGCTCAGGAAGCTGGTAAATTTTACTCCTATCACTTTGTCAATAATTTTTTTCGTTGCCTTGATCCTCTAATATGCATAGTCCGTGAGAGGTATCTATAACACACTGTATTCGAACTTTCCTAGGAATCTTTTGCGTGGTATATTATGGCCTTGTTCGTTTTTTTTTTTTTTTAATATGAAGGTGAAAGTAATGTTTTAGACGCATTTGAATATTTATTCCTGAAGGTTAGTTATTTTAAATTAGCCTCGCGCATTGAATTTTAATCCAAGCTATGGAAATTGGAGGGTTAACTAATGATGGGTTTAAAGACATCTTGAACTGCTTTGAAATTAGATCACCAGCTAATTTACATCATTATTTGTTGTATCGTTCAGTTAATTTTTTTGTTCTAATCTTTCATGTGTGTAAGTAGCTATAAGTGGCATGTACATGCACGACTAATACTTAGTTTTAAAAGGTTTTTGTTTATGATATTGATTGTTGATAGCATTCGGTGGTGTTTATAAGGCTTGCTTAAAAAGAGGATAGGCTTTCTTTTTTAATTTGATGATTTTGTTGTTATTAGCTGTAAAAGAGATACAAATGTGTTTATGATAAAAGTTCACATTGCGGGAGATAAATTTCACAAGTGATCTAATCGTTCAAAAGTTAATTTTTTACTCTATAATAACCTTTGTATTGTTATTATAAACTTTCAGTGTCTATTAACAAGATACACTTCTTTCGCTGTCATTCTTGCATTAATAAATAATTGGAGAAAAAGCTTCTTAAGTATCTTTAACAGATATAATTATAGGCCGAAAAGGAAAAGGCGTCTGTATAACAAGCTACATGTAATCATAAACACATACAATCAAACGTAGGCTGTTTAATTTATTACAGGTTCCGATACTTGTAACGATGACCTAGCTTGTCTTACACTGGCTTCTCATGATCGACTAGGTTTAGAAGCTATCAAATCACTTCACCGTCAACTAGATGATGATGCCAATGGAAATGTGGATCTTTCTGAGTCAGATGATGTAAGGAAATTTTTATTTATAACTCTCTTTGTGTATCATAAGATATAAAAAGCAATTTGTATCTCTTCTAGTTTCTAAGAGAAGAGTTACAATATGAAGCTGGATATGAGAGGAGGCAGAGGGCTTTTCATCATAATGATGATATGCAAATTAGCGTTCGAGAACTTTGGGAAGCCTGGCTAAGGTCAGAGGTATTGTCTAAAATATGATTGTTTTTTTTTTTTTTTTTTAATAATTTCAATTCTTTTTGATATCTTACTATGTTAATATTTTTTTATAGGTTCATAATTGGACTATAGAACAAACATCAGAATGGTTATCTTCTAATGTAGAACTTCCACAATATGTTCCTACTTTTATACAACATCGTGTAACTGGTGCTACACTACCAAGGTTACTTCCTTTGTAGAATATATTATCTTTATATTGTAATTTTTACACAAAAATATCTTGTCGAATAAATATTTTTTTATTTTATATTTAGATTGGCTGTGAACAATATGCACTACTTGAGTAATGTTTTGGGGATTAAGGATCCCATTCACAAACAAAAAATTGCCTTAAAAGCTATGGATGTGGTTCTTTTTGGGCCACCGAAAGGTAAACAATTATTAAAAGATCATTCTTCTGTTAAAAATTTTTTCAACCGATATACTGATTCTTCAATACTGTGTTATAGATACTGGACATAGCGTGAAAGATTTGATATTAATAACATTATTATTCGGAGCGCTTATCGGATGTTGGTATGCGTATCAACAGAAGAAAAATTCGCAAAAACATCTTCATAGAATGATGAAGGACATGGAGAGTTTACATAAAGCAGAATTGGCACTAGAGGACTTGCAAGTGTGTTTTATTTTCCTTCGGGCCCTTACCAATACGTTAAACCTTTGTTAATGTTTTATTTCACGATTTACAGAAAGAATTGGAAAGAGCACGTATGGAACAAGAAAGTGTAACTACCGAAAAACAAAACTTAGAGAAACGTTTGCAAGATGAAAGTGTGGGATTGCACGCTTCTTATTCCGATCTCGAAGTTTCTCAATTAAAAGCAGAAATCGAGGTATACATTTGCCAAATTTTTATGTTTTTAAAATTTAAGGGTTAGATTTTTTCAAAGTGGAATTGATGTTCACTTTGCAGATGTTAAAAGTTGAATTGCAACGTGCAGAGGGTGAACTTGAAGATAGATGCTGGTCTCCTCCTCCTGGATTGCAACATTGGTTACAGTTAACTCATGAAATTGAAAATAAAGCATATACCAAGAAAAAAATAGCTGCAGAAAAGCAGTTGCAACAAGCGCGCGAAGCAGTAAGCAATAAGTTCTCTTTCAGTTAAATTATTTTTACGCGATTCAGTTATTTATTATTTAATTGTATTAATGTTGTCTTTAGTGCGAGAAACTACGAAAAAAAAGATCGAGTTTAGTAGGGGCATTTGTGTCAACTCATGGAAAATCTATTGACGAAGTTGACAAAAGTATAGTTGAGGCAAGAACCGCTCTAAACGAAGTAACTGCAGAATTACAAGAAAGAGTACATCGTTGGAAGCAAATTGAGCTTCTATGTGGCTTTAATATAATTAATAACAATGGTCTAAGCTATTTAGAAACTGTTCTGTATAGAGGGACTCCAAACGGGCGAGGTCTTGGGCTCAGAGGTATATATATATTTAATGATTGAAAACTGATTTCTATATTTTGATGTAATGAAAATAAGAAAATTTAGTTAATATTTACTTGATAATCTTGGTTAATTGGCGACTGATTTTAATAAAGTTTCAATAGGATTTTTAAACTTTATTACGATAAATTAATGACGATAAATCGTCTGTGATTGATTGCAGGTCGGCTTAGTAGTCAAGATGACTTAGATGACGAAGCAAACTCAGTCTACTCGTCTTCATTATGTGGTGCCGCAGGTAAGCAGGAAACGGACTTCCACGAGCATTTAGATTGACAATAACAGTGCTCAATTTGTAAATACTACTGTCACTTTGATATGACACTTACTTACAGTATCTGAATATCTTCCATTTTCTCTTTCTTACACTTGTAGATTTCTCCGAAATTAATAATTTACTAACTTGTTTGTTTTCCTAAAAGCTGTAATTTGGGTTTCTTTGTGACAATTTTGATCAAATGTTCGGGTTTCCAGCTCGATAGATAGATACTCGAAAAAGCTAAATTGTGATACGTATTCTTACGTGAATTAAATTCTAAAATCTTACTAATGTTTTTTTAATTTGCTAACTGTTTAAAGACAGTTGCGAATAAGTTACTCTTCGTAAGAATTTCTTATCAAAAATTTTTACTAAAAAGTAAATTTAAAAAGTTCACGTGATGCCTTAAAATTCGTTGTGATAAAAAGAAAAAAAATAAAGTAAATTTCGCAAGTCGTAAATTATGAATGTATATATTTATGATTCGTGTGAAACATATTACTGATCCCAGAAAAGTAGATGGCTAATGTCACACATTACAAAGATGTTCTAATGCCATGTTTATACAAATGTTATGCAATGTTTGAAGAATGTAAAAATCTTATAAAAGATTTATTTTTATAAAAAAAGCTAATATTAATGACTTTTTTATGATCGTATTTTTTTTAAAATATATCTTTTTCAATATATTATTAAGTTTGATTATGTCATTGTCTTGTGTCTTTTACGTAAAGTGTTGCATAAATTATGCTGTAAATGTTGTTGTCTCGTTGTTTTCGTTGAAAAATTTGCTCAAATTATTCGATATTGCTTATAAAATCGTGCTTTTTTTTCAAACTAATTGCAGTTTTATAAGATTTTGTTAAACGGAAGTACATATGTATATGTAAAAATGACTCCTATTTTTTTATATGTTTTTTTCTCCTATGTTTGAATTATTGAATTAACTAATTAATTTTTGAGGTTTCTTTTATGATAAAATATAAAGATTTCTTGATATATCTTGCTTCCTGTAGGCTACTGTTTGTTTATGTTATATTATCATTTGATTCTAGGGGTGGAAGAAACTACCAAAAAAGATTAAAGAAGCTACATAATCAAAACTTTTTAACAAATTTTTATGCATATTATTGATCCTGCACGTTGTATGGAGATTTATTTGATTAATTTAAGAAAATCGTAGTTGAAAAATTGATTATTGTTATTTATCAAGTGATTACATATCGGCATATGTAATGTAAAAAATAATTTATATATATTAAAGTAATGTGTGACATGAACAAAATGTTCGTAATTTAAAGAGGAGACACTGTACTAAAGAAATGCTTACGAAATTTAATTATCTCTGACGCATGACAATGCAATTAGTGTTAAAAAAAAAAGAAAGAAAAGATATCGGCAGATCTTTTAGTGAAATCGAAATAAAAATTTTTAGTGAATGGATTTGTGTGCAGGAAAAGGGAGGATTGAAAATTGGAATGTTCCCCTTTCCTAATTGAGATTTGTCATGTTATAAAGGCGTGTTAATTATTTAAACAATGACAAAGTCTCTTAACTTATTGTTAACGCGTAAGTTTATATGTACACACATACACACACACATACACACATACACATTCATATACGTATACGAATAATTCAAAGAATAGCGTATGACTATAATATAACTATATCGAGTTGTTTTTTGCAACTATCTGTTCGTACAAATTATAAAATAAAACGGAGTTAGGATGACGGTGTTTGGTGAAAGAACATGACATATTTTTGTACTGAAATTTTGATAATGTATCGAACGGACGAGACCAATCAATCTTGACGATGGTTGGATGTGAAAGCATCGGAAGGATGCGATATTTTTATGAATAATATTATCCTTCTTCGATATATATATATAAAATGAAAATCTATTATTTCTTTATTCTTGCAAGAATATAATAAATAGAACGAAAATCTGAGTCGCCAAAAAAAAAAGAAATATTAATTTCGCTTTCGAAAATTCACACTTTTGGCAATGCTATTTTGTATGAGTTTCTGTCTTGAGAAATATTCCCCGTCGAGAATATCTGCTAACTCTCAATGACAGCAATGATTAATTTGCTTAATCGCCATTTTGCAAAGGTTAATTCGTGTGTCGCAACTACAACTTCGATTTCTTCGTCGATCCGGAGCTTGTCGCGATCATTAGACTGCGGATCTTCGTGCGAAAGTCGTATAATTTATCAGAACAAGAATTGAAACAAATTTCAAATACCGAAACACGAATCCTGATCATTTTCTAAATATTACGACGAGTATATTTGGATATATTTTACACATCCTTTGTATAAGTACTCTTGCACCTTTAAATTCCCGATAAGTATATAAATACCCGCAGTCTAACGATCCAAGCTCGATCAAATATAATAAGCCTTCTAGTTCGTTCCTTCGTATATCCAATAGCAATATACATGTACACGTATATACACGACCAAGTGCCAAGCGTGATAATTCTCTAATTATCATTTTATTCAATAAGCCTCGACGATCGATCGTTTATTATATTATTATACGTAAGCATGTAATACTGTCACTGAATTCTCTGAAAATGTTCAAACCACGAAGTAGAAAATTATTCATTCACGATTCTTCCGTTTTTTTTTTTTTTTTTCTTCTCTCTTTTCTTTCTTTTCCCACGATTCTTTCGTGAGAATCGACCGATCGCCAGAGCGTTTTCTCGTTTCACCAGAAGCACGGTTTTAATTTTGCCAGATCCGCGGCAAATGCGTTGCACAACAGCCTTCCGTATTAATAGTTCGAATTAAAGACGAACGTTGCATCCCGTCTTAATTGGACGAGTCGCGTTTCACATTGCTGGAGGTACCATTTTCTTGCGTGTCGTCTGCAATTTCAAACTTCTTTTTTCTTCTTCTTCCATCTCGTGATTATTATTGCTCACGCAGTTGAAGCTGTAACCGGCCATTAAACCATATCATATGTCCGCGGAGAGACACAAGATTTCGATTACCGATGATCACCGATGATCGCTACTTCCTCCATCTGTTCATTATTATTCGGCGTTTTCTCGCGTGTCAAACCTTGATTTCCATTAACTCTGTAAGCTGCTTAATAAACAGAACGAGTTACCTAAATCTGTGTCGATAGTTTAAAACGTGTTGTAAAAGAATAAGTATAGAGGGCTTCGAACTGCGTCTATAGTCTTAGCGAATGCTCGAATAGACTCTGATTTCTGATTCCTGGGATTCTATCGGGCGACATATGATGCCAAGAAACAAATTCTATTTCTCGGGAGATTCGCGTCATGGTTAAGATTAGAGCCAATTAAAATTAGATGCGACTATATACGACCGCGGATTTGACTCGGATGTTTGCAGATGCAACACACGTACGCGGTGACACGTAACGAATACATTCTCGAATTGGTTTAATTTCATGCGAATCGTGTGGCAATTTCTCCCCTGCTATTATAAACTCGAGCATGCCCAAACAGCAATGGATCGTGTATGTGCACGTAGCCGCATATATAGATAGAATAGCGCGTGCAGATCAAGAAACGAGAAGCGGAGGATTTGTACGTTGTTTTGTCCGACTATTACAACATGTATGTTATGTCTCCCACCACGACGTTTTATTGTGTACACAACTTATAGATCGTAATTAATAAATCGAGCAAGAGTGCGAGAAACCAACGTACATGAGATTTGTTTGTATGACCTAAGTCGCGGTGATCACGTTCCAATCTGATCAATTACATACTCGACCGAGTATGTAATTTTAATTTCAATCTGGACGTTGGACGATCTGTTTCTGGACTCTCGTGAATCTTGCGAAATTAAACTTCCGCACACTCCTAATCCAAGTAATCCACTTAACATTGTACGGTTGGCGAGTGACTGCTGAATTGAAGTTACATATCTGACAGAGAATGAAATCTGTATGTGGCTGCAAAGCAAATGTTTGGAGTTGGACAACTTGCTATGTGAATCCTTGGTAGTTTGTAAGTAAGCTTAAATGCTATAATGCAATTGCCGAAATGCGACAAAAATGTACTAATGAGATTAACGGATGTTGCCATTAAGAACAACTGAGTCCAGACAGATCACTAGAGAATATTTTCTTTGAACAGGAATACAAAGACACGTTTCCTAGTTAAAATAATAAAGAATTAACATTTTTCCTCTGTGATCTCTTGTATTCTTTTAACTTTATCATTTTAAAATGAAACGTTTAAAATGACATTATCATTAAGATTGTACGTCTGAAAGAAGTTTGTAATTTTATGTGTGTTTTTTTTTTTTTTTTTCTTCCCCACTAAAACGAAGGACTAAGCTGCGCTCTCTGATAAAAGTATGATGATGTCTGAGGAGCACGTGAAAGTTTTTTCAGAATTGGCGTGACACGAAATGGAAGAATCTTCTTGAAAACAAACATAAATTTTTGTAGACCGTGAATTTTCATGCATTGCGTGTTTTCAAATAACGACTTCCTAGTTTTGTTCAATGTTTGTGATAAAAGTAAAATATCGCGACAAAATTTATATTATACTGTAGAATATAAGAGAGTACTGTTCATTGTGTTGTTTGTTTCTCTTCTTCCTTCCACAAACTGGATACTGCATGGAATTGACCTCTGACATTACGTGATTCTAACATTAGTGCATGAAAATTGGCCGTATAAATATAGTACTTGTAGTTATTTTCTTAATATATCTTCATTGAAATGCCAATGATGTCAGTAAATCAATGATCCCTCAGGCATCAAGGAAACGTATTCTTGAAACAAAATCACTTTGACCTCTTTAATCCCTGCATTGCATTAACATTGATTTGTTCATACAGCTTCGTCTGAGAGTTTCACACTAATCCAGCCACCATTCGAGCTCCAATTGAACAAAAATAAATTTCCAAAAAACCTGCAAAAATGAAAGACCGTGGTCGTGAAGTTGAACATCGCATATACAAAAAGTGTAACAAAAATTCAATCTTAATCTACAGGTACGCTAGACAACCTAACGTGGAAAGAGTCGTCGATCCCTCCAGACTCGTCCAGCAGCGAGACCGGGAAGGAAACCCCACCGGAGAGTAACGTGGTGCACTTCACCGTCGGCGATGGACTGGACGAGCCCGTCAGAGCGTCCAGCAAGGAGAAATCATCCGGCATTGTCCGTTCTTACAGCCAGGACACGAACATGCTCCTCGCGATCGAGGACAAGACTACCTCCTCATCATTCCCGCCGAAGACGTCTTACTCGGAGAATTCGCTGGACGCGTCGAACCAGGATCGACAGCAAAAAGTTAGTCCAACCACCGCGAGCACCACCAGTATCAATTCCACGACAGCGGCGAGCGCCACCAGCAGCAACAGGAAGTCGTTGAAGGAAACGCAGCAGCAAACGCAGTCGACCGTGGACGACGAGACCCTGTCGACAGACTCGAACTCCACGGCGGACAACGACGAGTTGAAGAGACGGCGCCGGAAGATCCTGTTCGCGTTCAGGAAGAACAAGACCAAGGTCACGTTGTGAAGCCGACCTCCTAGTCAACGTAGCGCAACAGCAACAGCCTGTGTTGTAACTGTTCTTACTTAACGCTAACTCACCTGCGATCGATTAGCCACGGTACATACGAATCGCGACGTGCACTTAAAACACGACTATGAAACGACTTGTCTTCGAGAATGCCGGTTGGCAATTAGATGCTGCCCGGTACATGTACATATACTTACACGCGTATACATACACAGACACACGTAATACATATACAATTAGACGGACAAGTATCGTAGCTCGATGGAATATCGACGAATTCTTCATTGGTCGTTCGGTCTGGATTCAATCGGACATTGGCGTACAATCTTATTTATATATAAGTATCGATACTACTAAAATTGGCTGATAGAAGGTTCAGGGGTGGCCTCGTCGTGTGTCGTAGAATATTGCAGAAGGTACCTGGGAGAAAATTAGATTAGGAAGGGAAATTAGATGACATCTTACGGGTACGGGAAATGGTACTTACTTTTTCAGTAAATTCTGCGATGCACGGGATTTGTTGTTCAGTGTCAGTCCAGTTTCAGTAGTTTCCTGGCACTGTGTGTTATCATTGCCGAAGCAGCAATGTCTTTATCATGTAAATATTTCTAACGGACGCACCTACGAGCATTAGAATCTTAATTGACATTTTGAGAAGCGTAGCTGCGTCTTTGTCATTTGTACATTAATGTATGATACGAGCACGAGGAGGAAAGTTTGTTAAAAAAAAACAAAAAATTGTACAGTACGAGCTAGGTAGCGTAATGGAATCGCATTGTACCAGTGTCTGATTAATTAACGTAAGAGTATTAATGTTAGGGTTCAAAGGAACGTTAGTTAAGTTTAAGGAAACATTTGAGAAAAACAGACCCAACGACCAACGATGGAGAATTAGATTCTTCTGCAAGGTAGAAGCGATGTTCCATTCTGCTGTCGTCGTTTAGGATGTTTTTTGGTGTCCCGGTTTGTGTCTCCTGTTTTGCCAAAACCTTTGTTCTACTCACAACGAGACACCACCAAGCGACGTCCCATTTAGATAGCTGGATTTTTAAACTCTTTAATTACGACAATATTCTGGCTCAGGAATGAGCGATCTTTCCTCTATATCGTGTAATTCAGTTTCAAGTAGAATCTCTCTCTCTCTCTCTCTCTCTCTCATTCATCATATTTAAATTGAGCTTCTCTCGCTGGGACGATTTTTTACTATCACCTTTGTATTTCACTGAATAGTACCCAGCGGTTGTATTGCATTCTTTAATTTATCTCTGTAAAGCGAAAGAATTTCAATTACAATTTCGTCGAGGTTTTTAATTATATTTATCAAGTAGTGAAACAATTGAAATCAATTAGAGATCTAGTGAATGTAATACGAGAAAGTTTCGTCCGAAAACTTTGTAATATATCATCTTGATTCGCTACAAAATTATTAAAAAGAAGATTCTATGTTCGTTATCTATGTTCGATTGAAATTCTAGCAGAGAGGACCATTGTGCAAAAGTTGTTACAATGGTGAAAAATTAATCTTTGAACAGCCAAACGACGAACATTTTACAATCTGTTAACAACGTATTAATTTCTTCTCCGAAGCAGCGGAAATACTTTACTTAGTCCATTCCTGTTTTTTCTTTTTTTTTTTTTTCTTCACGCATTTTCATTCTTAAAATTATTTCCGGCAAGTGATCAGTGAATTTCTGGGAAGGTTTCATCATCGATCGTGAATTCATGAAAATGTATGTTCCTCTTGTTTTTCCATGACGATATCCGGCCTAAGTAATTAAGTAAGCGAAATCTGTTAAGAAAGATGTTTTTGTCGTATCGGAACTTCGAGAAGTTCCAAGAAGTTTGGAGCATAATTCACGAATTCAGTATTATAATTTCAATCTCCATTTTTATTTAAAGAGAAAAGAAAAAAAACGATCGCTCATTCCTAAATCTATCGAGACACGTTTCTCCCGCGCAAAATGGAAAAAATACGAAATAATTCTAGCGCACCGAAGCTTTCGTTTCTTTCTTTTTTTTTTTTTTTTTTCTATTTTTCCGTTTCTATCTCTTTTTTTTTTCATCGATGCATCAGTGATAGCTGTTAGATACAAATCTTCCTCCTGTTTCCTTTTTTTTGTTCTGGCTCCTTATTTTTAGAATCTTTTTCTAGCTTCGATAGTACAGGCTGAGCACAAATGAACGATGCTCTTCCATGGAACTCTCTTTTCAATTTCTTAGTACGTACGAACTTTGTTTTTCAGAAAAACACGGTCTCACGAACTTTGTCACCTTTTGTTTCGCCGCTTTGCTCTTTGCAAATTTACTTACATCTGTCCGGATGTAGATAGAAAGAAATTCAATGACGATGATCCTTCATTTGTTGTTAGTCGTGTTCGGTTTCACTGATTTCATATATTTGTAAGAAGCAGGTCTATATTCTAAAGTAGATGATAATGCGTATACGCGATAAGAGAAATTCCTTAATATTAAGTCATTCCACGAGTGACATGATTTCTTTAAATTGAGAAATTAGTAAAAGAATAAAGTTTCACTTGATAATCTCCATCTTCTTTAACAAGATTGATACTTGTGGAGTGACTTGGTAACAAATGTAATCATAAAGAGATACAGGATACTCATTCTTTGAGGTTCATGAAGATTTTGTGTATAGAGTATCATTGAAAGGCAATAATTATTAAGACTTCTTTGTTCCTTTTGCTACGCATGATTCTACACGATGATGTTTCTAAGTATTACTAGGTTTAAACACTGTAAATAAAACTCACGAATCTCAAAGGAGGAAGTAATGGAACTGACGTGGAAAAATCGATTTTTGTGCTTGCCTTGTACCGTAAGAGAACTTACTGTTAAAAAATTATTTGCGGCCTTCCACGAAAAAGAAAAAAGTATGCAAATCATGGCATTTTATGATCGCGTTTTTGTCTCAATTTGCGCGTCTTCCTCTTTGTCTTTTTTTTTTTTTTTTTTTTCAATGTCTCGTTCATAATATTGCGACACCTGTTGTACTTCACTTTTTAACATTTAGACGATTATAGTCTGTCTGAAATCAATTAGTCGTTCAAGGCCATCAAATAATCTTCTATTACATTATAATGCTGTTGCACAAGATTGACAGATCATTTAGGAATCTGGAAATTTATGTCATTAGAACATTGAATGAGAGACGGTCTTTTACAGATGTTGAAAAGAAAATTGTTAAAGTACAAGTATAACGGAGAACAAACGAGATACGATAATTTATAATTAAGAAAGTGACCTTAAGTGACTGACTGTTTTTAGTCAGACTGTAGAATTAACTTATTATTATTAATTCCCTGTCGTACACATTATTCCCTATAGTTGCGTGGCAACAAATAGCGATGCAAGATGAAGTGATTTCTTCCTTCCTTATCGTATATTTTCTTTTATTAAATTATATACATATATGTGTATATACGTATCCCCGTGTATATGTATATAAACGTAGAAGCTTAAGGCGGTGAGGCTGGAATTCTCTGAAACTTATATATCTATTCTGTAAAGAATGATAGTGTGATAAGATTCTGAAATCGAATTTCAACTGACATTTATCACACGGATGTGCGAAGTTGCAATTATTAATATTTGTGATTACTCTGTGCAATGGTTTCTTAACCTCTTGCGCTGGAATGACGTGCCACGCACGTCGAGAATTTTTTGTCAACAGTTTCTCAGTTTTAAGTATATTTAAATATAACCCAGGCAAAACAAATGATAAGTGTGTTGCTTCGTAATAATTTCTATCCAGTGATGTAATACCAACGAGTTCGAAATGAAAAGAAAGCGACGAATTGTTGTTTACGATCCGGTCACTCGTTATGGTCCGCAATCAGTTGTCAGCGCAAGAGGTTAATGTTTGAAACGGGGCTTCGGCAATTCATGTTTGTGCCATTGGCACGTAAAAGAAAAAGAAGAAGAAAAACTCGCAAATGATGCAGAGATTCGGGAACTTCAAAAAAAATTGGAGGGAACAGAGAGTTCGAGCACACGCTTGTTGTTCTTTTCGTTCCGTTTGGGTTCCCGCGGACGTCCGCGCGATTAATCAATTACTTCCGCTTGATCTTCTTTCCTCTACTATCCGATGTGTCTTTCTTCTTTTCTTTCCTCCATTAACGTGCGTTTATCTTCTTGTGTATTTTCACCTGGACCTGGTTCGCTAATTTACGCTTTACCTCGTGCACTTGCCAGAATTATCCGCGAGGATTGAATTCCCCTCTTTCGGTTCTTCTCTATCTTTTTCTCTTCTCGCATTCCTCCTCCAGTTGACACTTAGCTCGCTTCTCTCCTAACTGGCAAACTGACACATTTGTATCTCAGGGCTGATGAAGAACACGGATTCATTTGACGAGCTTGAAAATATTTTTCTTTCAATGGCTTGTTTTTTTTCTTTCTTTTTTTTTTTTTTTGTAGAGATATACGTAACCCGTTGGACGAATTACTTATTAATAGAGACATTTATCGATATTACCAATTCACTGTTGACACTATTGGAGGCTTCGTTTCGAGCGGCATCTAAAAATATATTAATATATATCTAGATCGAGTTGCTCGAATATTCATTGCGAGTTAATATTTTTTAATGCGTGCTCGGGTGAAAAAACGGGGGGAAGCCTCGGACAGTGAAACCTACCTGTATATTACTGACTTTAAGAATGCGTGTATTATAAGAGAGCAATAGACGAAGGAATCCGACGTTCAATGGACCAAGTTCGATTTACATACGTACGCGAAGAATAACGAGAAGACGATAGTTGGCAATGATCGATAACTGAAACGATCTTCTAGGCTCAATTATAGTATTATAGAGTAGTAACACGGAAACAAACATTGTTGCGATCGAATCATTCGGACGAACTTTTAATCTTACGACGAAACGTCACAACAGCTTACAAGCGAGGGCTTCCGGATCAATACAGCCGTGTAATTATCAATTTTATCGTCACGCACTGTTTACCAATTATACAAATCTGCCAACTTTGTTATCGCGGTAGTATTGTTGTTGCAACGCCCGAAGCAAAATGGTCCAACTAGTTGGGGTATTCTGTTTCAATGTATTCGAAGTTTTAGATGTGATTCGAAGGTGTTAGGTAAATGTTATGTCAAATCAAAACGCGTGTCACTTAATTAATCTGCAGTTTCTCTACAACAGAAAAACCTAGAAAAAAAAACAAAAAAGGATATATCTCTCTTTTTGTTTCTCTGTCCGCTGTTCTAATCTTTTTATTGATTTCACTTTTAAAGAAAAATCCAACGTTTTCCAAGATCGTGTGACACGTTACTAAGGCTGCAATGAATTGGCAAGCGAGAGGGTCTTGCGATTTCATATTTTAATACGTGTGTGACACACGTGTTTTACGATGGAACTGAGTACGAGATGTTTAGCATCTGATGTACACGAACCACGTGTTTCTCTCGTTGAGAATCTCATATCCTGCTCCTAAAGAAAAAAGAAAAAAAAAAAAAGAAAAAAAAACGAAAAAAAGAAAGTAGAAAGAAGCTTATTCTCACGGTTTAGGGTCGTTAGAATCAAACCATGTAACGTCACATGTCGCAGGAGTTGAAATGCAGAATATAAAAGTAAGGGTCAATTTAGTCGAGCTCTTTGCGATCCTCCTCCTCCTCCTCCTCCTCCTCCTCTTCTTTTTATGTAAACCGTGGATATATCCCCTCACGTTCAACACTGGACTCTTCTCGACTGCGAAGAGAAATATCACAGGCCGTCCGAAAAAAAAAAAAAAATCGTGTACCGTCCTTGTAAGACGATCCCGTCTGTTGCAATATCGAGCACGATTCGTGCGATTATAGAAGGATTAATCAAAAATGTTTAATATAACGAACTCGTTCGTTCGAGATGGCCTCCTTATTTTCAAAACGAGCGCAGAGCCATCGAGGACTGTGTAAACAACAACCGAGCATCAATTTATATATGAGAATAAAATGTGTCAGCTTCGTTTTAGTGTTGTTGCTTCGTGATCGACCCGTTAAGTACCAGTTAAGCGATTTTCTAGGTTGTGAGTAAATCGTAACGAGTTCCCTTCTCGAGTTGTCCTGTTTCGTTTCGATTCGTATAAACGGTAACGTTCTCTGTAGGCCTTAAGCGAACGTAATATAACCATTCCTACGAGTGATTAACAACCGTTGAGAATTCGTAATAATATTGTTTTGCAAAGACGAAGATCACGTAACGATGAACATATCGTGCAACATTTTTGAAAGTGAAGTACTGTGAATATATATATATATATATATATATACACATATGTACTGTATAATTGAGAATAAAAGTTACATGTACTGACTTGTGTTTTAGACGAAGGTGAGTTTTCTACTTCGGCGTTTCTCTCCACGGTCGCTTTTTCTTTTACATATATAACATTTCAAAAATAGCACGGCAATTGAACCGAGGACATTGCGTTGCATCTTCCTTTAAAATTCGAATAAAATGTTAATCGCCGTTGTTCTCTGTTTCTCTCCTTATTGCTGAGAGTCACGTGGCGCTACGGTAATTATACTGTCATTAAATTTCACCGAAGCAACAGGAAAAGTGAAGAAGAATTCTGAAACAAAAGTATGACGAGGTATGGTAGGAAAAACGAAGCGAAAAGAAAAACAAAAAAAAATTGGGTTTCACAGAGATGCCGGTACTTAATGGACTCGTGAAAAAAGAAAAAAAAAAAAAAAAAGATCAACCACGCGTAGAGTTTCCTTAAGAGTTCTTCCAGTCGAAATACAAAGTTTTATAATTGCGTGAGTGACGTTTATAAAGGGCAGTCCTTTAAGATAATTATATCTTCGTTGATGTTGTATCATTTGGTATTGGAACCTGATTAACTGTCAGTAGAGACAAAGAGCGTGAATGGAAGAATGAAAGAAATTTAGAGTGCGAGAAGGAAGGGCACATATGTACAGTTTAAAATATACGCGTTACCATCAGCTAGAAAGTATGAGACTGTGTTCGAGTTCTATATTATGTTCTATATTATACTTTCAAAGATAGAGAGAAAGAGAATTATTATTGTAAGAAATAATTACTTTTCGTGTTACCCGTCAGAGCATACATATGTATTAATTTACCATTATAATACTGATTAAATGGCTGAATGTTAATATCCAGATAGGCACTAATGTCGTTAAAAAACAAAAAAAAAAAAAAAATGACAATACACTCGAAAGATCTCATGCTTTTAGCTGGCGAGACGCGTACGCGCGGTCGCGGAATGCGCGGGCTGTTCGAACTTGAATTTATTTTAGATAAACCTGTAAATTATTCCTATTATATTATTGTTATATTGTTCGCTGTTTTGATGGCGAGAGATAGGTCTTCCTTGTAACGCGACAGAAACATTTTTTTTTTTTTTTTCAAAAATAAAGAAATTTCATAAAAGCCGGCAGCTGTTGGCTTCCGTTTCTTCTTTTCTTCTTTTAGTCTTGTCGAATCTTTCTCTCTCTCATTCTCTCCCAAGGGTAATACACAATACAACGATTCTGTTCGTTGTAATTCGCTATTTTATTAGAAAAATGTTATTAAATAGTTTTCAACCGGACACACACGCAAAAAATCACGTTTTTTACCGACGAAATGCTTAAACTTCAATGTTGCGGCAAATTAAAAATCTCTGTAGCTTTTTTGGTGGCTTAGATTCATACAGTTTATACAGTTCAAGGACATTCAGACGTAAATTCTGGTTTTTCTTCTTTTCTCAAAAATTTCTGCTTTAAAGTCTCTGTCGTTCCAAATAATTTCATCAAATTGTAACAGTCAGGTGTGTTAGTTTTCTCTTATATATAATGCATAATATAATATAGAATACATAATACAATACAAGATTATTTTGTTAATTCTTCAGTTAATTCTTTAGTTAATCTTTTTCCTAGTAAAAGATATCTTTTATTCGACGAGGACACTGGATGTAATTATAGAATATCCTTTGAGAAAGTCCAGAATTACAATCTGGAGGTCTTAAACGACATTCAACGCGCAAAGAGGAAAGTAACGCACTCGTCAACAAATAAGTCCGGCAACTAATAACTAGCGAATATCTTTGTCATTAATTTAAAACCACGTATAAACATCTGCACACGCCGTAACGATCTTATAATAGTCTTTAGGCTAGAGTGGTCTATGACCTAACGATCAACTAACTATAGCTGCACAGATCTATGATCGTTCATCTTTCTGATTAACGAACACAGTAATGGATACACTGGCTTTAAGTTGGTCCATAAATTTTCAAACAATTGTGTATATACCTGCTACATGCATTCATTCTAAAGTGAATTTTCTTGCCACAAAGAATGTGTATATATGGAGTATATTAAATATCCTTGAAATTCAACTTATTTGAGAATTTATCGACCATCTTACGTATTAATTAATAAATAAATTAATCGTCACGGGTATTATGACGCTTGATTAGAAATCGTATTACGTGTTCAGATCTTCAACTAGAAATCCAAAGTAATAGGACAAATTGTATAAACGATCAGTCTTATGTAAACGCAAACACGCTCATTAACAATCGAACAATGGATTTGAAATACTGATTCCGTCGTGGACAGACTTTCCTATGAACAACGAATAAAGAAGCGTTCGAGTTTCTATTGAGCCGAATGTAATTTGTCCAAAGAAATTGAACGAGAAAAGAGGGAGAAATACTGTGTGTCCCATTTTTAAGTTTTGTCAATAAATAGAGTTCAACGCTCTAATATTAATTGAAAACTATATAGAACGTTGAGTTCATCGTCGTGGATTTGAAGTTACAATTTTCAGGATCTTCTTTCGATAGAGAAGCCCAAATGAAATTGACGCGTTTCTTCGTACCTCCACACCTCATTTCGCTATCGTATCAAATCAAACTCATCCGACAAACTAAATTAGTACGTTACACTATAAAATTAACACGTTGCCTGTCTTGGAATAGAACTTCATATAACGTGTAATGAATGTTTAGATCATAATACAAAGCTCAAACGAATTTCACATATGAAAAATATCGTAGCAAATTCTCTACTTGAACGTTTACTTGAAATATTGGTACAAAGTATAAAATTCCTTCGACAGTCAATATGTTAAAATTGGCAGTATTGAATCGAATTTGACTATTGTTTTCGTCAATTGCGCTTACTTACGGTGCAATTTCTCGCGTGCACGTTCAACGGACGGTCGATTGATCTTTCCACGAGTCTAAACGATCTACCATATCGTTGAATAATTCTACCAAAATTGAATAATTGTACAAAGGGAATAAAAGTATTGTTATATTCTTCTCCTTTTAACGTTTTGCAGATTTCCTTTTCAAAGACTCTTTGACAAGAAAAAAACGAAAAAGAAAATAGTGATATTTTTAAATATTTAAATGTATATTACGAACAACGTTTTTTTAATCACAAACGTTGAAAGAAGAATCCCTGCTGAATTGTCCATTTTTTCTCCATTCGTACGTGCAACAATGAGAATCATCAATACGAATACAAGTCATCTTCTCACATCTCTCTCTCTCTCTCTCTCTCTCTCTCAGAGGACACTTAATACTGAACCGTTCGGGAGCAACGAGTGACCCATGTCTTTACTCTATTACAATCGACTACAATCTCTAATAAACAGAAATGCGCGTAAGATGATGGTTCAATTTTGCGGCGTATTGTCGTCGTCTTGTTGATCGCTGGTCTCTGCCGCGGAGGGTATAGTTGCAAGGAGCCTCACGGCCAGTCTGCTCGGTGATCCGGGTGGTTCAGGTTCCTGGATGGCCAGCTGACGAGTGAGCCGTGGCTTCGACCTAGCTGGCCTAGGCGTGTTCCTCGCGGTTACCTCCAGCGACGCGCTGGACCTTGAGATTCTCCAAGTGCTTGTGCTGGCAGTGGTGGCAGAGCCGGAGGAATCGTTCCTGGAGGAGCTGAGGTTCGAGTCTTGCGACGGTTTCCTAGTGATCAGCCACGAGGAAGCTCTTCGTTTCGGGTCCAACAACCTCAACGGGATGCCGCAGTGATGAGTCTGCCTCCAAGAGTCCGACCTGGATGAGGAGAAGTTCTCGCTGGAGGACACCGACGAGGCCCGTTTGTGCTGTTTCTGTTGAATCTCGGCGATCTGGTAAGCGTACTGATCGCTACGAGCGTGTCTGGGTCTGGTGTCTCTGGCGCATGGCCACAGTATCCTGGTGCCCCATCGCCGGTAGCCGGAACACTGGCTGGTCTCGAGCAATCTTGAATTACAGGCGCACGGTGTCTGATTTTCTCGCGACGATCTGTCCACCAGACTGTTCGTGTTCACCGGTGTCTGCCTGTTGCTGAAGTTGGAGCTGTGCCGACATCTGCCGATCCCCCTGGTCACCCTAGACTCCTCGATCGCCTTGCATATAAGCACGCAGTCTTTCTTGAACTGTTTGGTCAAGATGGCGTAGAGAAACGGATTGCAGCAGGAGTTCAACGGCAGCACGAACACGGCGAACACCTTCGCCTGTTCGAGGGACACCAGCTGCAACCCAAACGTGGCGGTCAGCGAGAAGAACGCTATGGGTGACCAGCAGAGGAAGTCGGTGAACACCAGCAGAGCCATCCGCTTAGCAATCCGAGAATCGTTCGAGTTCCACGCCTGGGAGCCTCTGATCGCGCAGTACATCTTCAGATAGCATCCCATCAATATGAGAAACGCAACGCCGTTGATCAACATTAGAAAGATCACGTAAGCCAGTGCCGCGTTCCCGTTGGTCTCGAATGGCAGACATATGGCGAACTTTCTGTAATCGGAGACACCGATCAGGGGCAGACTTGCCATCGACAGGGCGAAACACCAACCTACGGTCATTATATAGCCCGCGTGTTTGAGGGAGAGCCTTTTGTTCAGATGCATGGCGTGTGTTATGGCGTAGTTTCTTTCCAGAGTGATCACCGCTAACGTGTACACGCTTAATTCGGAACTGAGAACACCCAGGAAGCCAGCTAGTTGACATCCAGCGGACGTTTGCCATGGAATGGCGTACATCCGGAATTCACCAAGCGTCGATGCATCCACCACCGCCAAGAGGCCTAAAATGAACAAGATACATTTGATCCTTTGCAACTGTTTCCTTTTTCTCTCGCCGATCTGACCTAAATAAATGCCCATGAAGAAATCTGCTGCCGCGAGGTTGCAAACGAGGAACCGGGGAACATCCATCTTGCTTCTGGAGAATATCAATACAAACACCACGGTCCCGTTTCCAAGCATGGCGAGCAAAAATACTACCCACACGCCGCAACGCAGAGTCCACCAGTCGAAGAGATCTTGGCACGGTAAAAAAGGACCTGCAAATCATGAAATATTTTAGATTTTTTTTTTCGCCAGCACGATTGAAGAGTATTCGTCGAGTAGCATTTGAAAAATGGCGTTGACATTACCAGGTTGAGGCAGACACTGTACGTGAGAAGGCAGTGTTCGAGCTGGCAGCGTAACTCGGCCGTTCTGCTCTTCAAAATAATCCTCAACATATGAGGGCAGGTTACCAGGGTACGTAAAATCTGAACCAAAGTTAGCCCAAAGTTCATTTATTTGCGAGCCAAATTTGTCGGTCATGTTATCTAGAACACGTCATCACTTCAGTGCTGCAAAGTCGGCTTTTCCTTTTCTGTTCTTTTTTTTTTTTTTTTTTTTTTTTTTTTTGTTTTGTTTTGTTTTTCTAGCGCTCGTTTTCGTTTATTATCATTTAACACGTTCTACCGCTATTGCTATCGTTATCGTCTCGGTAATGGTACTAGTGCGCGTTATCGCGTAAACGACACTTATCGGCTAGATTCCGTCCCGGCTACGATAGACGAGAGAAGTAAGAAACAAGAGAGAGGAAACAGAAGAATGAAACGAAGAAAGATGGAAAGGCAAACGAACACGATTTACGGTTAGCTAGTTAGCTAGTCTAAAAATCGATTACGGGGGCGTGAACACGGGGCCCACGCCCCGTCTACTTCCCTCTACGAAATCGAGAAAACCTCGAAGCGCCTCGTGGATGATCGCGCGATCTCTCGAAGCGACCGCGTCCCCTCGAGACCTGGCAATTCTCGCTCTTATCTCTCCCACATACACACACGCCCACACAGACACTCTTTCTCTCTCTCTTTCTCTCTGTTCCGGTCTGGCGCGTGTGTATACCCAAAAATCATTAGAAATTCCGAAAATCGCCGTTTAGAAATCGCACGGCCAGTCCCAGAAAGAGTCCCAGAGCGTCTGTGTGTGTGTGTGTGTGTGTGTGTGTGTGTGTGTGTGTGTGAGAGTGTCGCGACGGCGGGCTCAAAAAAAATGGCGGGAAGAAGGAAAGCTCGCCGGAGAAGCGATTTCGATGTGTCCCGAAAGCGTCGAGATATTGTGCCTTTTGGCTCGAGTGGAGCTGGACGAAATTGGCGAAGGAATCATCAATCACGGGTTCACCGACTCCTTTTTTTGTCCGCGCCTCGCGACGCTTGCTCGAGGAGCACGCCTTCCTCCTCGGGCGAGGGAAGTGTCGTCTGTCCGCGTTTCCCGCTGCTTTCCGTTCGGGCGCGCGGAACGGATAATGAGAAACGAAAGAAAGAGAAGGAAGAAGAAGAAAAAAAAAAAAAGAGAAACGGAACGATTCTCGCGCGCGAATCTGTAAAGACTTTTGGCGTGCTCGCTTGGTGTCTCGGTGTGTAATTGTTCGTCTACCTACGTGGCCGTTTCGAAAAAAGGAAAAGAAAAGGAAAAAAAAAAAAGAAAAGAAAGAAACGAAAGAAAAAAGAAGAGAAAGACAGAAAAGAGAAAAAGGAAGAACCGCTTCGAACAACTCCGAGTTACCGTGTGTGCGACACAATTTACGCGAATTAGCAGTATCACCGTTACTTTATTATAATTAGTGTTACAAAAGCTTGATTATTTGGATCGGACTGGTAGCGATATATTCACATGACTATTCGTCGTGGAAAATAAAAATCCAACGTTTTACAATTACAATTACTCACGATCGTCCTCTCGATCGTCGACAAACACGACCCGCAATAAATATACATTTATCTTCTTTTTTTTTTTTTTCTTTTCACAGCAATAATAAAAATAAAAATAAAAATGATAATAGGATGATAATAAAAATAATAATAATAATAATAATAATAATAAACAAATAAGGATAATAGTAACAGCAGTAGTAATAGTAGTAGTAGTAATAGTAGTAGTAGTAGTAGTAGTAGTAGTTATAGTAGTAGTAATAGTAGCAGTAGTAGCAATAGTACTAGCAGTAATATTAATAATCACCAGTGTATTAGTAGTCGTTACCCCTGTTTTCTGGCATACGTCGTCGTCATCGTCGTCATCGTCGTCGAAAATAAAGATACTTCGGTCCGACTACTGTACAGATATATTGCCACGAAGCAACGTGTCGCTTTGGAATAACAACGCGCATTCCCCCTAGCTCGAGCTTAACCCTAGAATTAATACGTTCCGTGTGAAAGAAACAACGTTCGTGAGTTTCCTTCCCCTGAAGCATAACCGGAAATGTAACGCGTGATTTATACTCGTCGCTAAATGGGCGGAGCGTCCATTTTTTTTTCTTTTTTGTCCTTTTTTTTTTCTTTTTTTTCTTTTTTTTTTCCTTTTTGGTCGAGAAACAAACACGCCGCGAATCAGGCGTTCTGGCGGCCACGACGACGACGACGACCACCACCACCACCATCACCACCCACCATAATCGTCGTCGTCGTCGTCGTCATTCCTCCAGCAACCAGCAAGAAACGAAGGAACGCTGAAACGAACGGCACGAACGTCCGGTTACGTTCGCGCCTGTTCCACTTGTACGCGCGCACGGAGGACGATCATCGTCGAAATCTACACTCTCTCTCTCTCTCTCACACTTTCTCTCTCTCTCTCTCTCTCTCTCTCTCTCGTAATTTGCCAATTATTGCCGTTTGCTCGTCGACAGCGAAATTTTTTTTCTTCCAAAAATTACGGAATAGTGTTTCTCGTGTATACAATACAATACAATACAATACAATACAATACAATACAATACAATAGAGTACAATACAATACAATACAATACAATACAATACAATACAATACAATACAATGTAATATAATATAATATATAGAGAGATTTATATATTATATATCATATATATTCTAGTTATCGCGTTCGGCATTCGTCGTCGTGGCACGACGATCGCACGATTGCACAAGGGTAAACAGAGTTTGCTCTCGTCAATTTTTTTTTTTTTATTTTGTTTGTTTTTTTCTTCTTCTTCTTCTTCTTCTTTTCTTTTCTCTTCGTTACCTAAGGAACTAACTAGCTAAATACAATCGACAAATAGAACCGCGAAATAGAACGTCGCCGTACACGAGAGGAATCAATCAATCAATCGCCGCGACATTGCACTTCTCGGTCGTTACCCGAGTTGTTGTTGTTGTTGTTATTGTTGTTGTTGTTAGTGTAATTACGGATTTCGTGCTCGACGAAATATATACTCACTGCATGTTCGCGCTTACTCTAGACTCGTGCATCCCTCGGTGGATCCCTCCGCTTTCTTCCCGCCGTTCATTTTTATCTTTCACAAAGGTTTCTCTCTCTCTCTCTTTCTCTCTCTCTCTCACGGTTTACAAAATATCGGTGGCGTACGAGCGCGCGAAAACGATGAGACGAAAAATGCACGCACACTTCGAGTTCGAGCTTTTTATATATATATAAAAATACACAATGTTCTCCGTTCGACGATTTCGAACGCAGCCGCGATCACTCGTGGATAAATCGGAGAGTTCGGGCGATTTGAAGAAAAGAGAAGGAAAAAAAAAGAGAGAAAAAAAAAAGCAAAGGGAACGCCCGAGCTCTTGTCTCTTCACAGCGACACCCTGTTACTTTGGACGCTTTCGGAATTACGTAGAAAATTCTGTTCGTTTCGATCAACGATGTGACCTACTCCTCATCGTCTCTCTCTCTCTCTCACTCTCACTCTCTCTCTCTCTCTCTCTCTCTCTCTCTCTCTCTCTCTCTCTCTCTGACAGAAATCGTTCGAGTATGTACACTCGCGTTGCACTCGCGACGTGTCACCAAACCCCCTCGACGAGCTTTCCTCGATGATTCCCATCGGATGCAACGACACGCGCCAGCGCGAAAGAAGCTCGCCCCCTTTCTCGAGGCTGATGAATCTGATCGTCGTTCGCGCGTTTGCCCCGAGCAAACGCGCGGCCGGGGATCGACGCGCCGGTCGGAAAAGAAAGAAAGAAACGAAAGGGGAAAAGGGCGACTCGTTCGATGTACCCAATGTGGGCGGCAGTAACGGAGAAAGGATGCACGACGCGATCCGCGCGAATCAACGGAAACGTTTTTCTCGGCAGTTTGTCGTTTCACGTTCGTTTCGAACCGATCGTCCGATCGAACGAGCGCGACAGAGGCACGAGGAAAGGAACGAGGCGAGCAAAGAAAGAGAGAAAAGCGGGAAAAGGGGGTGGAGGGGGCGAAGGAGGATTTTCGATGGTTTTGCTCGGCAACGCGAGACCACCCCTCCCTCTGTGTTTTTGCGTTAGATGAGTTTCTTCTTCTTCTTCTTCTTTTTTTCTTTTTTTATTGGGATCGATCGGTGACGCGTGCGTGCGTGCGTCCGTGCGTGCGTGTGAAAGCTCGATCTGAAATCGGGGGAACTAGTCGAGAAACAACGACGAACGTGTCCGTCGACGGGCCAACGGGAGTCGCGTCGATGCTTTGGCTGCTGCAAACGGTTTCCCTAACCGTTTCAAAACGCGTTCCTCGCAAACGCGCGCTCGTCATGCCTGGTATTCGTACGTTCGCGCGAACGATCGTGTACTTTTCCCGAGCGGAGGATCGTCTCCTCGTCGCGCCCCCTCTCCCCAACCCCCTCTGTCACGCAACATCACGTGCTGCTTCACCTTTTTTTTCTCTTTCTTATCTTTCGTTCTCTCGTATTCTCTCACGCATTCTCTCTCTCTCTCTCTCTCTCTCTCTCTCTCTTTCTCAGTCTCTCTGCCTCTTTCTTTCTCTCGCTCGGTCACGCACGTTTCTCTCCTTTTCGTTTTACTGGTTCCATTCGTTTCGCGATCCGCCCTACCTCGCCCCGTCTTTTCTTTCGTCGTCACGGAACGAAAAACGGCGCCTCGTTTAAAACGTACGTGGACGTGAAACTGTTTCTAATCGTCGCTTTCTCTCTCTTTCTCACACACACACACACACACACTTTCTCTCTCTCTCTCTCTCTCTTTCTCTTTACATTTCATATATGTATATATATGTATATGTGTGTATATGTATATATATATATATATATATATATATATATATATATATATATATATATATATATATATATATATATACGTACNATATGTGTATATATATATATATATATATATATATATATATATATATATATATATATATATATATATATATATATATATATACGTACATGTATACGTATACACGCGCGTTTGTCGCAACTATGTGTCGTCTGCGCGCGCGCGTGTGTGTGTTGTGTGTGTGTATCTACGCGTAGAAACGTGTAGAAGATAAGGGCGTGTGGGTGGACAGATGTCGGCGCGCACGCGCGTGTATACGTATATACGTATGACAAGATCGGACAGTCTAGGTGCGCCCTCGACGCGAATGGCGGCAAGTTTCTTGCTTGTCTACCGGGAATCACCGCTCTCGGACGTCTGAGCCACCGTCGCCGGATTGTGGCTCGTCTCGTACTCCATCACCTCCTGATAGATCAGCTCTTTCCACTGGTCCACCGTGTGCTCCCTCTCGTCCACGCTGTGGTCGTACGGGCCCGGTGCAGGCTGCAACAAACGCCCAAAAACTACCTTTCGATCATCGCTTTCCTCTCTCTCTCTCTCTCTCTCTCTCTCTGTCTCTCTCTTTCGCGAATAGAAAAAAGCATCCGCGGCGGCGGACGCCACTCGAATCGGTCGCCGATCGATACTCTCCTTCTCTCTCTCTCTCTCTCTCTCTCCCACCACCACTCGAACTCAACTCACAACCCCCGTCTTACCCTCGTTTCCCCTGTTCCCCTTTTCATTCTCCGCAAGCAAGTGGACGAAAACCATCAAGTACGCGGAGACAAAGTCGCGTAAGAAGCACGCGAGAAAGGAGAAAGGAGAGACGCGGATATACCGGTGCGCGGCGCGATGCGGAGCGCACCGGTTCAAACGAGATTAAAATACGACGGATCGACGACACTTACGGCATTCACTTCGCCCTCGTCGTACCACACGTTTATGTAATTGTGCAGCAGAGCATCGTCGACGGAGATGCGTCGCTCGGGGTCGATCACGAGCATGCGCGACAATAGATCCCTGGCTTGGCTGGCTGAAACACCGAACGAAACGACGGGGGGAAAGAAAGAAATAAAGGAGCGAGAAATGGAGGGAATAATAATAATAATAATAATAATAATATATATATATATATAATGGTCCCCGGACCGGTTCGAGACCGGGAGGGTGAGGCTGCGATCGCACTCACCTTTCAGTCGGTTGTGCTCCGACGAGTCCGACGGGAACAGAACGTCCGGGAATAGCCTGTCGAACGGATATCCCGGGTACCGCGGCCTGTTCTCCACGTAGTTCCTCACCGTCGGCTGCAGCCGCTGCATGAACTCCTGCGCCGGCGTTCCCAGTTGCTCTGCAACAACCGAAACACGCGGCCGCGTGTCAGCATAAGCGCGCGCGTTCACAGCGGCACCGCTGATCGAGAATTTTCTCGTGACATTTTGCGTGAAAAATAAATAAATAAATAAATCGACTTTTTCACTTTGAGAATCATCACTTTCAATTTGCATTGGCTTTCGTTGTAAAATTCAAACACAAATAGCCCTCGACTTTTTTACATTTTTGTATCTTCTACTTTTGTATGTTGACAAATTTTTGAATAATTAATTTTATACCTTAATACCCACTAATGATAATATGATTTATTTCATGTTTATGTAGTGTTGGATCCCTCCCCTTCTTCTTTAAATTTAATTGGAGAAATTATATTTTTTGATGTAAATATTTATGTATAATTTTAATAATTTATTGTCTATTATCTTTTATTTACTCAGCATGTTCAGTCAGATTTATTATACATGGAAAAAATTTTGTAAATTTGAAAATTTATAATTGTAAATTAATAAAATTTAAGATTATCGATTCATTTGATTCCAGCAAATTTATTATTTTTTAATTTAATAATTTATTTAAATAGTTTAACGGTGAAAAATGTAATGACAATGCAGGGTGTATATCTCACGTGTGTTTTGCCAAAATTCTTCATCGAGAAAAGAAAAAGAAGAGTACAATTTAATTATTTCTTAATAAATTTGAAAGAAAACTCGAAAAGGCACCAGATACCATCGATCAATAATACTGATGCAAATGCTCATTAAAAAATGAATATTTTAAAAACACTTTTCGCTTCTTTTTTTTTATAAAGTTGCTCCACTTTTCTACATTTTAACTTTCGTACACATTTCAGGAACCAATTAGGTAAGAAAGTCGATGACCACCTGTATAATAATAATAATTTCAGTTGAAACACACAAAGTTTTGAAAGTTTTACTTTTATTTTTGGTACTTAATTTCCTTACTCCCCGAATTTTTTTCTAAAACTTAAAAATCGAAAACTCCTTCTTGATGAAAAATTATAGTATGCAGTATATTAAACAAAAAAAAAAAAAAAAAAATTCATTGTTCAATTTCATTATCTCGTTTACCTCGGTATTACTTTCCCATTTGTAAATTTAAATTACGCGCGTAATATTGCGTACGTTCAACTTTCTATTCGACTTTGCTTGTAATTTCAGAATTAAAAAAGTTTCGTCGGCCGAATTATATAAAAATGTAGTAAACGAACATTTGTGAAATTAATGAAACATCGATTGAAACAAACATGAAATACATCATCGAATATTGTTGGCAAATGTTTCTGTCGAATATCAATTCACGTCAAAGCTCGTATCATTTACGAGTGAAGGAGTTGTTCTTCAAACGGTCGCGAAAAATTCTCGATCTGGCTGGTGCGACGGCGACCTACCGATTATCTTGTTCCACTGGTCGATGTGATCGGTGCCGGGGAACAGCACGCCACCTCGTATCATCTCGCCCATTATGCACCCGACCGACCAAATGTCCACGTTCTCCTTGTATCCCATCCCGAGGATCACCTGCGGGACCACACACACAAACCGTCCGGGATCACCACGTACAAATGCACGTCACCCGTTACGAAATGCACCGAGAGGGAGAAGTATCGCCACTTTTCTCCAAGTTTACGTCTGTATCTAAAAGAGAGCCTGCAACGAGCTATCCGCGGTGCCTCCCTCGGTCTTTTACGTAACGTCGTCGGGCTCAAGGTTCAGTTTTCGCCGGGATGAACGTCAGGGATTGGAAGGGGAGAGAGAGAGAGAGAGAGAGAGAGAGAGAGAGAGAAAGAGAGAGAGAGAAAGGTCGGCAAAACGGGTCGATCGAGGGATTTAGGATGGAGAAACGCAAGATTCCTCCCTGCGCGGCGAACAAATCGATCTGGCATCTGACAGACTTTCTCTTACCTCCGGCGCCCTGTAGTACCGCGTCACCACGTACGGCGTCATCATGAAGGTTGTCCCGGCGGTCCTAGCCAGGCCAAAGTCGAGAATTTTCAGCGTACAGTCGGCCTTCACCACGATGTTGCTCGGCTTCAAGTCCTACCAAGCCAAGAGGCAACAACAACAACAACAAGAAAAATCGGGTAAAATCTGATGGCCACGCAATATACATACGGTGACCAGACGTCCTTCGATTCGCGACTCACCCTGTGAATGATACCGGCCGAGTGTAAGTGCTTGATGCCGCAGAGCATCTGATAGAGCAGGTAGGACATGCGCTCGTGATCCAGATCCATCTGTATCACCTGGCACAGGTTCGCGTCCATCAGCTCCATCACCAAGTACACGTCTTGAAACTCGTCCAGCGACCGTTGCGGCGTGAACGCGTTCAGCAGACCGATTATCTGTCGGTGAAAATAGGGAGGAGTATGATCAAGAGTAGTTGAAACGGGCCAAGATTTAAACTATAGGACCTATGGTATGTATCATATTGGATCTATATGCAGCAGGATGTATAGATCTTAACCTTTTGCGTGGGGATGCACGTGAAGTCGAGAATTTTTTGCCCCAAAATGGCAACATTTCCTCAGTTTTAAGTATTATATTAATATTATGTATTTATAGTATATATTGAGTATTATATATTTATAGTATATATTAAGTATTACATATTTATAGTATATATTAAGTATTACATATTTATATAGTATCTAGTGAGTATTATGTGTTTATAGTATATATTAAGTATTATATGTTTATAGTATAACATATAATACTTAATATAGTATTATAGTATATATACTATAGTATATTACTTAATATAGTATTATAGTATTTATACTTATAGTATTATATATTTATATTTACTTTAAATATTATATATTTATAGTATATTAAGTATTATATGTTTATAGTATATAAATATGTAATACTTATATGCTATTATTATACTAATATTAAGTATTGTATATTTATAGTATTAAATATTATATATTTATAGTATATATTAAGTATTAAATATTATAGTGTGTATTAGGTATTGTATATTTATAGTATTAAATATTATATATTTATAATATATATAAGTATTAAATATTTATAGTGTGTATTAGGTATTATATGTTTATAGTATATATTAAGTATTACATATTTATAGTATATTAAGTATTATATATTTACAGTATATATTAAGTATTACATATTTATAGTATATATTAAGTATTACATATTTATAGTATATATTAAGTATTATATGTTCATAGTATATATCAAGTATTACATATTTATAGTATATACTAAGTATTGTATATTTAGGCAAAACAAGTGACAAGTTTATTACATCTTAATCATTTCTATCAAAAGAAAAGGAAAGCATCGAATTATTGTATTCGGTCGCTCGTTATGGTCCGCGCAAGGGGTTAAGCGTCAACTGTTATACGGATACCAGGCACGTACGGCGAATTCCAGTATTGTTCACTTACATTATTCGATTGCAAAGGAAATCTAACATTTTTTAACATTCTATTTAAACTATTTTAAATTTAATACGCACGTACTTTTCAACTAACTAAAGCAATTACAACAGAGCAATGATTATCAAGTGATTGTAATTCATCTGAATTTCTCGAAAATTTATTGAAATTCCAGTAAAAGTGGTTGTTGATCGAATAATTGAGTGGAAACCTCGAATAAAGATCTTGTTACATTTTCATCGTTATTAAATTAACAATTTGTAATGTAAAATTTATCTTACTTTGATCGATATGTGTCGAAATATCGGTGTCATATGTTGTCTCTTTTGTTTCATGTTCCACGATAAGCTAACGTAGAGTGGGCGATAGTACCAATTTTAAAAGTTGGTGGGGATAGAGGAGCGGACGCTTAAGTGGGCACTACTGTGTATATATATCTATTTTATATATATAACGACAATACATTCGTTTCCGCGAAACTTACGTTTTTGTGATTGACCAGCTTCATCAGCTTGAACTCTCTGTAGGCCCTCTTCGCGTGCGTCACGTTCTGAAAGGGTCTGGAGAGCTTCTTGATCGCGACGTTCTGCGCGGTCACCGTGTCGTATGCCGCGCTGCAAAAAAAAAAAAAAAAAAAAGAAAAAATAAAATAAAATTAGCGTGAAATTAGAGATTAGAGATCCGTTGTCGAATCTCTGAACACCTCCAGTCGTGCGCGAGCTCTGATCGCGCTCCAATTACGTAAACGAAACCAACGAAGAACCTCCGTCGTCGTTCTCCTCTCTCCACCTGAACAGCTCGCCTGTCGTCGGTTTCTCTCGACGCGTCAAGACCGTCGAAGAACGTTAGAGGGAATCCTTGCAATTGTTAGACGCAGTAAGACGTGGTATTCCGTCTGGTATTCGACGATTTCAAACAGTGAGTAAAACTAACGACGCGTGAAACATGTAATTTCCATCTAGAGACACTGGAGTATAAAATGGAAAAGCTTTGCAACGCGATAAATTACACATGCGTAATGTTTCCATTTGTACTTATACTTTACGGAGAATAAGTTTCTTGAAAAATATCTTTAAAAAAATCTTCAGAAATAAATTTTTCGTCCATTTAAAATGATGATATTACGGCCACGTTGGCCACTGTGGGTAGTTTCAGCGTAAACTAGAAGCTAGATCAGAGATCGCCGCGATCGACCGGGAAGAATAAACAGGAATGACGATCACTTACCAAACGATCCCCTGTGCCCCGGAACCGATCGGCTTCAGGTTTTGGTACCGCTTGAGGATGGTGAATCTGGTGTCCCCGACTTCGACCGTGTAGAACATGGCGGACAGCCGGGTTGTCATATCAGGCCCCAGGTAAGGCATGCGCCTCGGTGCTCGTCTCTCCTGTTGCACCTGTACCTGCACCTCCCCGGCGCTCGAGCACTCCTGGTGCACCCGGTGAGGGCTTACGCTCTTAGCCACTTTGGATGGGAGTGTGAGCGCAACTGGCCGAAAGGAAACGTAGTCTCTCGTCCCTGTTCGCTCGGTTCGTCGAGAGGCACGAGCACCGGCACCGATACCGGCACCGGCACCGGCACGCTCTCGCCGCTGCTTCTCTGGCCCCCGCTTCCGGACCACGCCGCCGCCGCTCCGCCGCTTTGCTCGCTTCTTATGCGCGCCGGATTCGTCTGCAACGCATCGTCCAGGGAATCACTTCTCCCTCTCTCTCTCTTTCTCTTTCAAATCTCTTGTAATTTGTGTTTTATTCGAACAACTCTCGCGATCAACGATTAATCATTTCGCTACGAGAACAAGCAAGCGTTCAAGGCGAGGCTCTCGAGACTAATATAAAATGCGTTTTATTAGCAACTGTGTGTATCTACATTGTGTCGCTAGAACGCTGCACGCGTCGCGAGAACATCGGTCGCTTCATTTGCTGAATTTAGAATGAATTATCGAGGTGTATTAACGGTCCGTGGAACGAGAGCTCGAGCCTCGCTCGGCTTTTCTCCTAATCTTTTAGCTACGGTGCCGCTCTTCAAAGTGTGCATCCACGTCAGATGTCGGTTAACTGACCGCGGGCCTTTGCCCCTGCTTTCCGAGTTCCGATGCAACGTAACGATACTCGGCCCTTGTAGTTTTTGTGCGATAACAAAAATCCGGAAAAAAAAAACAAAGAGAGTGTAGAGAAGTCGCGTCGAGAGTGTAGACGAAGGGAAAGAATCTGTAGAGCAGACGTGGCTAACTGGCGGCCCTTGCCCCCCACTTCCCTGATCGCTAGCGCTATCCCCTCCACTACGTTTCCTCGCCTCGCGCGAGCCCCACTCTCTCACTCTGTTGATTTCCCTGAGTGAGCAGTGGAGGGGATAGCCAAAGGTTCGCGAGCCGCCAGTTAGCCGACTCTGATCTACATTATGTCGCTAGAACGACGTAAAAACGATTATGCTTGTCAAACACAGAATGTCTGCAGCTAGTGTAAAATTGAATTAAATTGCAGGGAAATAACGCTGGTTTTCTTTTTGAAAAATCAATGACTTTATCGTTTGACTCAATTAATATTATTTACAAAAACGTTCATCACTTTCTTGAGAGAAACTCGTCATTCGTAGCTAGATAATAACACCAGAAAAATATCTAAAAATATCTATATGTGAATGATCGACACAGCAAGAACAAAACAGTACTATGCAAAATAATGGGCGATTCGTCGTAGCGAGAGTGTTTTTTAATTACAATTACCGTTTGTGTTAATCATGTCTCTTACGAGAGAGCAAACCACGTCAAAGCCACGACGTTGAATGACACGGATTGTCGAAGAATTCGGCGACATCTCCGAATTCGAAGAAAGGAACGCCGACAACCACCGCGACAGCGACCGAGAGAGAGCCTCCTCCTCGGGATCGTCCGTATCGTCGGTATCTCTAGCGCGAAAGTTTCAACGTCTCGGGCGAAAATAGAAATTGGAGCAAAGTCGGGCAGACGTTCTCGGCCGCGAAAGAAGAACAAGAAGCAGAAGAAGACGAAGAAGAAGAAGAAGAAGAAGAAGAGGGCTGGTCGAAGAGTTTTCGTCGGCCGGCCAAAATTAGAGGAAGGCGAGGCGAGGGATGGAGAGAGCGAGTCGCGCGAATATTTCGACGACAGCGTGCCGCGTTTACCGCGGAACACCACGATGGCGATTTCTTCTGCCACCGCGCGGGATTCCCCCCGATTATTTATAGAGATTGTCGGCAGACGCAGACACCGACACCGACACCGGTTGCCGGAGAGCCGCGACCCCGCTTCTATCTTTCTTCTCCCTCCCCCTTGCGAATTTCCGCTGTACATTCTCTCTGTCTCTCCCTCTCCTCGTCTCCTAGCGACCGTGTGTTCGTTGCTCCAACTTTTCCCTCGACACCTGCTGCCAATTACGCAATTACGCGGAAGTTGCCGCGCACTTCGTTCGAAACTCGCGCCAAAGTCGTGGCGCGATTCGGCACGCTCGTCTGGACCCCGTATTTAGAGGGGGGAGATGGGATGAAATTTGTCTGGTATTCATTTGCATCCGCAGAAAATGATGTTGGATTCGAGATACAAAATTGTAAGGTTTTTTTTTTTGAGCTGAACTCAGATGAAATACGTCTGATATTTACTAGAAGAAAAAAAAAAGAAAATGATGGATTCGAGATATGAAAAACAGACATTTACACTCTCGACCAGCGAGAGTGAGAAATCCCAAGAGAGACCATCATCAGCTCGACAGAGCGACCAATGTAGTTCGATAGTGCTTCTAATCTAATGATTAATTTGCAAGCTACAGGTCTTCGTTTAATTGAAGAATGGAGAATCATAACTGAAGACACGTGTTTATCAAGATCGCAGATTTCTTTGAAGGTACCCGGTATTCCAAAGCCGAGAATTCGTGTCTGTCTCGGTCACTTTACGTGGCTCTCGAAGACTTGACGCGACAACGTCGACTTTCCGTGGTATCTCGAAGATTGAACGACCACTGCTCTTCTCTTCTTTTCCCTTATTCTTCTTCTTCTTCTTCTTCTTTTTATCGCCTGAAGGCACGGCATTCCTTCAAGCTCGCTACCACCGACGGTTGGATCATCTCCAACGCGTATGCGCACGCGCACGCTCGACCAAATTCGTTAGACCGTTTTAACGCAGGCATAATTCATCGGATAAGAAGGATTTAAGGGAGCCGAGGTACGAACCGAATAGCCATCGTCGAGACCCTGCGTGGATAGATATGATTTAAAGTCCGCGCTTCGTTCGAGAATGTACTCCGAAAGGCAGTACATTCTCCCCCCTCTCCCCATAGATCTCGATTGGAATCGGATAATCGAGGCTCAAGCTAGTCCCGTTGTATTCGTTTTTTTTTTTTTTTTTTTTTTTTTTTTTTTTTTGGCCCTTCAAATGTCGATGCACAAAGCGAAACTCGCGAAATAAACGGAGCGAAACTTCATTTATAAAATATTTGTCAGGAGGTCGCGTAACAAGTTCGTTCGCACCATCGATAACGAAATTAATGTGTATAATTATACGGTTACTCTTTGTAAATGAGTCGAGCAACTTTGAAGGATTCAAACTGCTGTTATCAAACGAGTGCACTTGTATATCCACGTTCTTCAAATTGTAGAATTATTGCCCGTAAAGGACAGTTTTCTCGTACCGAAAACGATTAACATTTCAACGTTGATAGTACGGTATTTAATAAATTTAAATCGTAAGACTAGATGGTATTTTTTTGCAATGGTTCATATTTCAAATATAATAATATCAATATAGTAATACATGATATACACATATTTGATTATTTAATATATAATAATGTATATTATTATATATAATAATATATATAATTCAAATATAATAAGATATTATATACACATATTATATTTGATTATTTAATATATAATAATATATAATATATAATTTATATATAAATATTAAATTTATATAAAAACTTATATATAATATATAATAATTATATATATAATTCAAATATAATAATATGTAATATACACATATTATTATATTTGATTATTTAATATATAATAATATACAAATATAATAATAACATAATATATAAATAAAAAAAATAATTTATAATACAATAATAATAAAATATAAATATAACAACACCAATATAACAAATAATCATATTTTCAATTTGTATTCATATTTACTTGTTTCTTTCTATTTGCAACTGCAAGCAATGTTTATCAATCAATGTTGATGGATCTACAATTCATCTTCAATAATATATAACCTAACACCGAAAGAGGCGAACGAATTTATTACACGAGCCAGCAGTTCGCCTAATCCGAAGTCCACGTGTCAAAAGTTCGATCGACTCCTGCCACTGTGTTTCGTTTCGCTCCGAAACAGTTCGCGATTTCTTCGTTTCAATCGCTTCGAGATCCCAAACACTTACCATAAACGAGCGGCCATTGTGAACGGTGGACGACGAACGACTGAATCCGAAGCGAGCGAGACCTGCAACGAAAAAACGTAAAAGACATGTAAATGTTTGGCTAAAGATGTGCGGGCTGCAACAACGAGGAATTTCCCCGGGGCAAAGTTCAAGAGGCTCTGTCTCGGAAAGGTTAATTCGAGCGGGACCGTTTCAATTCGTTTAACGCGATTTCACGGGGCCTTGTGCCTCCTCTATTCAGCTTCAGTTCGTCCCGATTATCTTCCGAGGAATGCCGGGTATTTTCGTTGAAAAACACGCGAGACGCAGCCTCTCGAGACCTTGGAAATATTTCGAGTAAATTCTTTGTACGAGAAACTTGGTTCGACTCATCCTCTCTGTAATCGAATCTTTTTGAAAAATTTATCTCTTCGCGTGGAACTGGAGGAGTTGGTCTACATGAAGTATTAGATAACAAGGGCACTGCCATCTATCGGAATAAACTTGAAAAATAAAAAGTAAAAGAGATGCTGTACAATCGCACGTGTCATATGCCATGTTTCTTTTTTTTTTTTTTTTTTATAAACTTGAGAACTTCATTCGAGCTATATCTATAGAACCAATTACGTATAAATAAATAACAGAGGGAATGAGAAATATAAATTATACATTAAGGTTACAGTTTTTAAGGAAAGTGTAGGATATCTGGTTTAGCAATTATCATGTCGACTTTTAGGGGCAAGAATGATTTATATTTGTTGATGTTCCTGATAAGTTTAATCCCGCGGCAGTCGCAAAAGTTGCACTTTGTCACAATATATGATCAAAGTCTTCGAGTTTTATGGCCACATCTGCATCCAGGGTCGCAAACAATACAAAACAAGGAAGCTGCCAGATTATAACGATTGGCTTTGATATTTTGACTTAATCGTGACTATTGTAAATAAGTTATTTATCTCAAGTTTACGTTTAAAAATAATTTCTGGAGACACGCTATTTTTTATTTTTTTATTTTTTTTCTTTAACTTATTCTAAACTGGTCAAATTTTCAAAGGTGAATCTTTCCTTTAGGTGTCTTAAAATTCACAACGAAGGTCATTTCGTTTAGCTTAATTCCACAGTATAAAATAAACATATTACAGATGTATAAATAAAATGGAGATGTAACATATTAGAGATATATAATATTAAACATATTCAACATATAGATTATTATGTAATATTATACAATATTAAACATAATAATATATAACGTCATACAATATACAATACTAAACACAATATTATACGATATTAAACATATATAATATATAATATATAGATACAAAATATTCAACATTAAAGATACATCCACGTGTTACTTTTTCAAAATAAAATGAAGATGTAACATATATAATATTAAACATATTCAACATATAGATTATTATGTAATATTACACAATATTGAACATAATATTATACAACATTATACAATATTAAACATAATAATATATAACGTCATACAATACACAATATTGAGCACAATATTATACGATATTGAACATATATAACATATAATATATAGATACAAAATATTCAACATTAAAGATACATCCATGTGTTACTTTTTCAAAATAAAATGAAGATGTAACATATTAGAGACATATAATATTAAATATATTCAACACATAGATTATTATGTAATATTACACAATATTGAACATAATATTATACAACATTATACAATATTAAACATAATAATATATAACGTCATACAATACACAATATTAAGCACAATATTATACGATATTAAACATATATAACATACAATATATAGATACAAAATATTCAACATTAGAGATAACATCCACGTGTTACTCTTTCAAAATCGCCAATAGTTTCAAAATCAGAAGTCGGATTACCCGCATTTGGACCTGTCTACTCCGTCAGTATCCGACTGCACTACGCTACGATAAATCCCGTGCAAACGATTGGCAATTAATAAATTAACGGGGCAGACGTGGAACAAAGCTTTCGAGCTTTCCAGAGAAGTCTAGATAAATTGGCCACCAGATCCCAACGGGTGGCTCGAGAAACGGTCAAATAACGGAAACCAATAACTCCCTCGTTGATCGACGTCCAACGACGATTTCGAGGGGGGGCAGCGGATTGTGCACGAATGTGAGCGAATGCGTGGATGTCGCAATTGCAACGAAATATTCCTGCGGTTGCCGATACGTACGAGGATGTGTAAGCGTATGCAAGATCGATAGCGTGAAATACGATCGCGAGGAATGGCCACGATTTGCGAACAGAAGGAGGACATCCTATTTGAAACATCAGAATCGGAGCAAATTGTTTTCTTTTCCTTTTTTTTTTTTTTTTTTT